ACGCTTACGTACAGAACACTTAAATGAAGAGGAAAAGGCTAATTTAGTCACTCTGTGTTCTCGATACGCAGATGTCTTCTACATAGAAGGCGAAGCGTTAACATTCACGAATAAAGTGAAACACCGGATTAGGACTACCGATGAAGTGCCCGTACATGGTAAAACTTATCGTTACCCGTTCGTACACCGACAGGAAGTTAGGGACCAAATCGAGAAAATGCTAGACCAGGGTATTATCAGACCATCTGACTCAGCTTGGAGTTCACCTATCTGGGTTGTACCCAAGAAGATAGATGCTTCTGGTAAGCAGAAATGGCGACTTGTGGTTGACTTCCGTAAACTTAATGAAAAGACTCTCGACGATAAGTACCCGATACCCAACATAAGTGACGTACTTGACAAGTTAGGGAAATGTCAATACTTTACGACCCTCGACCTGGCCAGTGGCTTCTACCAGGTAGAGATGGACCCTCAGGACATCACAAAGACCGCCTTCAATGTCGAGCATGGGCACTTTGAATTTCTCAGAATGCCCATGGGACTTAAGAACTCTCCATCCACCTTCCAGCGAGTGATGGACAATGTCCTCAGAGGCCTCCAGAATGACATATCGATACCTCTGGGCTCAAAGGTCGTAAAGGACAAAATACCGAAAATGAGTTATTTATACAGTTTTACTCAGAATTTAATTCTCTATCGATCTGTATATTTAGATTGTCGAAATTCTCAAAAAAAGTGCCTTTACGACCCATGATTTTTGATAAGCTAAACAGAAATCATCCTGAAAATTGGGATGTAAATACCATTTTATTTTTTAGTACAGTTACCATGGTAGTAAAGAACAAGTAAACACAATTTTTTGGGCGTATAATGTGCATGAAGTATATCTATTGTCCTATACAACCTAACATTTTCATACCAAAGTCTAAATAATTTGTCCTTTACGCCCTTAGATTATCTAAACAAATATTTTAAAAATCTACAAAGAGAAGATATTTTAATAACTGAGAAGGTTAATTTTATAGACGTTTCTTATTGTATTTAAGTAAGTGCGTTTGGAACAAACGAAAGAACTAAAAAAATCATCAAAAATATGTAATAAAACTATTTTAGAGTGTATTTATGTGATTGTACACACGACAGCACATCAGGTTACCCATTTTTGTTGCCAAACTCGCCCCTATTACAACTGCTCAAGAACCCACAGTGGTAACGTTGACGTGCCGTCGTCTGTACATATTAATTGATGACATCTACCTACATAGGGTGAAGAAATGTTGCTTTTTATTATTTCTCATATTTGAAGAAACTACGTATTTGTCAGGTAAAAGATCATTAAAAGATGATTTAAGAAAATGAAAACATGTTATAGCATGTTTTTATGATTTTTATTATGACTATCCTAACTTAATTAAGTAATGAAAAGAAAAATGAAAAAGCTAGATTTGTTAAAATTTTATGAGAAAAAAAAGTCACCTTACTGTAGTACCTTAAGGTGTCATTATTTTCTATGCACAAATCACACAAATGCTACTCTTATCGATTGTTTTTAATGATTTCCTAGTAATTTTGACTAACGCCCTTGGTCAAAACCACTTTTACTGTAGGTACTAACAATTATAATAAATAAGTATAGTTTCTAAAGTTATTTGGATCAGCTAATATTTATCTAGTAGGAAAAATATTTACACAACATGGGAAAATATAGTGTCAGTTGAGACTTAATCTACTAAAAACCGTGAAGGCACTTTTTTTCGAACTTAAATTTTATATTAAAAATAATTGGCTATTAAAAACGGTATTATTAGTCCTACAGTAAAGTAAGTGGATGTACTTTACTGGAATGAAAGCTTCCTACTTGTAATCTTACTTACCTAACCTTTTTACTTTTATATCAAGTAAAATGACATAATTTTAAGCTAGTATGAATAATATTTTTTAATCTATTTAGAATTTAAATTATTTTATAGTTTGGTTTTCGCATGTCCTTAATAATTCTATCCGATCTGCATTATCATAAGGTCAACTGGTTGACAGACTGCCCTATGGAATTAAGTCCGCCATTTGTAGTTTTTTTACAATAATAATGATTATTTTCGTATATAGTAGATACACATTTATGAAGTTTTATTTTAAAGCGTCATAATATTTATTTTCTAAATTCGCTCTTATATCGGAATTAATCGGAAATGGTATCTTCTAGTTCGAGGATATCAAAACTTCTGCTTAAATAGTTTCATAAATTGTGTGCATTAAATTATGAAGCTACGAAAAATCATTATATTTTATTTATAAGACCATAATTCATTAAAAATGTGTGAAGAAATGGTATATTACATATCAAATACCATAAAACATTAAATATTTAAGCTAAATTATCAATTTACCCTTGCATAATACCTTACCTGGGTGTTCCGTTACGACCAATGAAAACCTATAAAACTATGTAAATTGTCATTTATTACCTTGGTTTTGTAGTTTTGTGAAATAAAAAGAGACTTTACGTCCTGAGTAACTTGCCTAGGACGAATATTTGAGGGGCGTAAAGGTCTTTTTATTGTAATTTTGAGGGCGTAAAGGAAATCTATCTCAGTAAATACAGCTCTAGTCCAGTTTCTCAATACCTCCTCGGAAAATGCTGTGAATTCTAAGCACTTTCTTCCTAAGTCATATTTTAATAGCTCAAAAAACAAAAAAGTTACTGTCGAATAAAAAAATAAAAAAACGTTTTTTGCTTCTCCTGAAAAGTCGTACTTTGTCCTTTACGACCTTTGAGCCCAGAGGTATCGATACAACAATATACTCAAAACCATAGAGAGCAAATGAAAAAGGTCTATGACTTAATTAATAGTTCTTCCTTAGCTAACCGCACTGCTATTATAGACAATAGGAATCGGAACCGGGAACCAGAAACAGAATACGCACCTGATCAACAGATCTTCATCAAAAATCCTCTGGCTAGTCGTCAAAAAACCGCTGCTCGTTACACACAAGACACAGTTCTAGCAGACCTACCAATACACATATACACTTCTAAAAAACGCGGCCCTGTAGCCAAGTCACGCCTGAAACGAATCCCTAAAGCGGTTAATTTGTTACAGGATACTGTTAATAACGGCCCTCGGGTTCAGCCAACCTCAAGAGATAAAACTTGAGAGCTTGGATGACGGACCAGGACTGCTACCACATAAACTTGGACCTATGAAACTGACGACCCATCATCATACATTCATCCAGTACGTAGACTTAAACGACATCGAGGATAAAATTAACTCACTACAAATCCAACTTAAGAGCTACGAACAACGACTGACTAACGACACATTCTTACTGTACGAGACTCAGATCGACTATTTAGGCAACAAACTCAACAAGGTACTTAAACAACTAAGGTCATTAGAACCGAATAGAGCTAAAAGAGGCATTGTAGATGGCCTAGGCTCAGTAATAAAAAGCATTACCGNTCAACACCTTCTACAACAATATACTCAAAACCATAGAGAGCAAATGAAAAAGGTCTATGACTTAATTAATAGTTCTTCCTTAGCTAACCGCACTGCTATTATAGACAATAGGAATCGGAACCGGGAACCAGAAACAGAATACGCACCTGATCAACAGATNGGGCCAGCTGCTGCAGGAAAGGACAGCCGCTCCGTGCTGGAAATCTATTTAATCTTAGCCTAGAAGCTGGGTATGACTACCCCGCCCCTCTCCTCTCCCCAGGTCATAAGCTGGGCATGACTTCCCCCTCGGCCAGAAGTTGGGTATGACTTGCCTCTCCTCCCTCCCACCAAGGGGCCAGAAGCTGGGTAAGGCTTGCCTCTCCTCCCTCCCACCAAGGGGCCAGAAGCTGGGTAAGGCTTGCCCCTCCCCCTAGGCTATAAGCTGGGTATGACTTATCCCCCCCCCCCAGGCCAGAAACTGGGTATTAGCATCATATTATGTATTATTATGTTCAATACAAACAATCATTAAGTTACACTCACCCCAACCGCGTCTCCGCATTGCATCGAATCCTATNAAGCTATAGGGCTGACTTCGGTGACATTGATATAGCGTCAATGTCACTATGACAGCAGCTAATTGGCTATAACGATACCGTTATTTTAACGTTTTAAATTTTTTTCACAATTAACAATAGCAACTTCATAATCAAATACAGTGTGAAATTTTTAACAGATTTTAGTTGGTTCGATTCCCGGCTGTGGCAACCAACATTTTTGGAAATCTTTGAATGTTTTCTTTGAGTAAAATTTTCTGCAGTATTAAGAGTACTTTCCCTCCAGGTGGCATTACAAAATTCCACCCTGTATACTAGTATTAATACAGGGCGTCCAAATACCACGACACACTGACACCGGACATCTTAGGCCTTCGGTGCCAGTGTGACTGCTAATTTTATTTACAGTATTTATTCATTTTCTAGACGCTATCACACATTTATGCCTTTTGGCGTCATGAACTAACTTAACTTAAGGACTAAATGCAAAACGACTATTGCAAATCATTTCGCAAGCGCTCTCAGCTATTAATACACAAACATAAGTCTTTTGATAATTATTATTATAATGGTCCCGCGGCCATTACCAGCAGGTAAAAAGTAAACAAAAATTACTGAACGATTTAACTTTGTTAAAAACAAAAGGTGGCGATAACCTGCAATTATTGTCACAGGTGATAGAAGTAATGTAAACAATCATAATGAACTATTCTCTTGCATACATTTAAGTCTGATAGTAAATTTTTAAGATAACTTCGAAGTAAAATACTCTTCTCAATTCTCAATAATTCAAATATGAATGCTATATTAAAAACTTGCAGAAATAAGAAACGTACTGTTACTTGACCTTACTTTCTAGGACAACCTGTATGCAACCACGTCGCTCTAAATGCACAAAAAATACTCTCTGAATACCTTGTTTAATATGTCTTGTACTTTGTGGTTATTAACAAGGTCATTCTAATTTAGTTATTCAAAACAAATAATCTTGTAAATTACAAAGACGTAGCCCAAAAACAATATTATGTATACGCGATAATATGTCTTAAGATGTTCAGCCAAAGTACGTCACTTAAGTCATTTTACTGCACAGTTCTCAACATTTATATAACATACGCGAAGTTGTTATCAATCGGCCATAATCCGCGGCGGTAAACACGTTTCCACCGCGTTGAAAATGTCATGATCATTTATTTACTCATATTAATAACAGTGATGTATCTAGCCAAGTTCAAATCTTTAAATATCCCGCCGTTTTCTTGGTGTTTTCCGAGCACAAGTGACGATAGGTACCAAGGGTAATTAATATTTGTGTTAACGTGTGTATTGTGTTGTAACATTGCAACGTGGTCAGTGTAAAGATTATCGTGCGATTTGCTTATCGGTTACGTTGATTAATTCGCCTTGTTTATTATTTTTGATAATGACTTGTGATTGATCGATCGTTTTCGTGTTGCATAATATGGATTTTTTATATGTTATTAATTTAAATAATTTTGCAATTCTTAATAAATAATAAACTGTCTGGTTAGTGCTTTAGTAATTTTGTAACTTTGTCCTTGTTTCAAAAACCGGGATAAAAACTATCCTATATGTCCTTTCCCGGGACTCAAACTATCTCTATGCCAAACATCAAAATCGGTTCTGTGGTTTAGGCGTGAAAGCAAGACAGACAGAGTTACTTTCGCATTTATAATATTAGTATAGATTTAAGAATATCTACATTAGTAAAAGTGATCAAAATATCTGTGAACATTTCATTTAAGTACCTGTACTCATAGTGTTTTGACTTGACTGAGATTTTTTTTAATAATGAATGTACTCGTTCGTACCTATCCATGTATAAAAGTACCTAATACTAATTTGATCGATTTATTGACTGGTTGATGCCAATTTAGTTTTGACCGTGTGTTGATGGATCCGGCCACTATAATTCTGTAATCCATTAAAGACATGTTTATATTTTTTTGTGTTGCTGAATAAACATTTCATTTTTATTGCCATATGAATACAGGTCCTTCTCACCCAAGCACTTGATTCACTATATGGATAGGATCTTTGCGGATGAGGGGGGATAAAGGCATAGGGAAGCACAAAAGATCCTAATCGGTCGACGTGCACTGCGCCCATGCGCGGCCGTATATAAGATACTAGTTGACCCGGCGAACTTTGTTCCGCCTTAATGGCAATAAATAAGCAGACTTTTTTTTAATTTTGAACGGGATAAAAAGTATCCTATATCCTTCTCCTGGCTCTAAACTACCTCCCTGACAATTTTCAGCTAAATCGGTTCAGCCGTTCTTGAGTTATAAGTGGAGTAACTAACACGACTTTCTTTCATATATATAGAAGATATTGCTATATGAGTTTTGTCTTCCTGTCAAAATCTTCAACTGTCTTTTAAAATCACAATATAACTTTCTCAGCTACGCAGTAGTATCAGAGTACTACGGTCGCGGGTTATTCAACAAGCTGACGGTGGTGACGGACTCGCCCGATGCGCAGTCGCCGGTGGCGCCCGCGCCGCCCGCCGCGCCCGTGACGTCACCGCCCGCGCAGGCCTACGGGCCGGGCGCTGAGGCCAAACTGAGGCTGCAAGAGGGACAGAGTAAACAAGGTTCGTAGTGATTTCACTTCTTATATTCTGATTTCTAAGAGCTCTTTAAACAAATAAAGAGCCCGACGGATTAGCAAGCTGAAGTGGCAGTGGGCAGGGCACATAGTACGTAGAACTGACGGCCGATGGGGCAGCAAGGTTCTGGAATGCAACACGCAGCGTGGGACGTCCACCCACAAGGTGGACCGACGACCTGATAAAGGTAGCAGGAAGGCGCTGGATGCAGGCCGCTACCAACCGTGCGATGTGGAAGTCATTGGGGGAGGCCTATGTTCAGCAGTGGACGTCCTGTGGCTGAAAAGATGATGATGATGAAGAGCGCTTTCACACATTTAGGCGACTTTGGCAGCGTGACGAACGCGTTGCCCATAATGTATATGACATCGCGGCAGCAGCGTTTTTATAACGTGAAGGCAGGCATTCGCAGCTGCTGTCGCGCTTCTGACGCTCTAATTTGAAAGCGGCCTTATATTCTTCTTTCTAGTCGGAACGGAAGACGTCCACTAGTTGACAAAAATGATTTCCATGGCGTCAATCCTGCTCTCTCTCTCGACAGTTTGCTTCCTGCAACTTTTATTATTAGTAATCTGTTGTCAGTTAATTGAGTAATGCCTTGAGTGCCTTTATAACTCTTTATTAAGTAATTAAAGTTTGTTTCTCATCGCATGTGAAATGTTGCAGGTCCAAATAGTTATTTTTAATATCACGGTTTAATATAACCCAAACGAGTTACTGAATTTTGGTCCTTAGAGGCGAAACATAAAACGTTTTTCTGTAACTTTCAAAATAATTTATCATTCATACATTCTAAATATCCAATCCATATTCTAAACCAATTAATTTAATTTTGCAGTATTCGTAGCAACAGCCGCCAAGCAAGTGGCGCCCAAAGGCACGGCAGTGATCCCGATGCCAGAAGGCCGTATGCGGGTACTAGAACAACAGCGCTACAGCTCCAGCCTCGAAGCAAACATGAACAAACTCGAGCCAAGGGTACACCAAGTGGCCAAGTCTCCCCTCGCTTCCCCGCACCCCCAAAGAAAGCTAGACGCCCCCACTGCGTCCCCAAAGAACATTTCTTCAGCTATCGCCAACGATTCCCCTAAAAATAAAAATCCATTCGAAGAGGAAAATTACGACGAATCGAAAAACCCCTTCGCCGACGGAGAGGTCGACGACCCCACCAACCCGTTCGCAGAAGACGACTACGATAAGAACTTGAACCCGTTCTCGTGAAGTGATATTACTGTAAGTAGTTCTAATTTATATTTTATTTCGTTGTTTTTTTGAAGGCAAGTGTTCGTAAGTGGTTGTAACTTATCGACAGTTGGTCAATACCACAAAGGCTGGTACTCCGAAACCACAATCGAAACTCGATTGAAACTCATGTATCAATTCGAATCTTTCATTGGTTAAATTTCAATATTTAAGCCAATGAATGACTTGGACTTATTCTTGAGTACGCTTGTGAATTCATACTTGAATACCACCTCATAATACTGGCCTATGACCCTGCCTGGTGCCGGCCTGATGCAAGATTACTCGTAGTAGTAAGAAAACGCCATTTTATACGAGCTTATTTGGGAAGGTAGAATCATAGTGGTTTAAGCCACCGTACATAGTTAGAAAGTTTAGTTTCAAACAAAATACCGCATGTCAACTACTATAGGTCTTTAACTGAGCATGGGAGGGTGTTTTTGTGACATCAAACGTCACCGAGACTTCAGATCTCCTTCAGATTTGTATGCACGTCATAATACGTAGGGTTCGAAAGGATAATCATCAATGATATCAATAATAACAGATGGATAATAATATCGGTTGATAATAACAAAACAATGCGCTTGTCAAAATGAACTGTATTAGAAGTTTTGAATTTATATTTCCGCACTTGCGTCTAGTGGTGGGCGTTAACCAACATAGATAGTAAAAAACCTATCTATTTAGCTCCACAATGATCACTAGTTATCTAGCGTCAAAACATTTATCTATTTTCCAAGCTATATGCGACTAGCGATGGACTTGAAAACAATCAGCAACCAAAAACATAAAGCAACATTCGCAATCAGAATTTATTATGACAAATGTATGTTATACTGTTGATAATTATCCGATAATTTTCATGAATCGTAATTATCTTGATAATTTGGACCCTGATAATATGTCAATGTCACCCCTACTGTGCCACTCCCATACCTCAAACACTCACTCAGTATACCTTTAATATTTTAAATCACTTTGGTTCTACTTTCGCCATTTAATATTTGCAAGTCGAAAAATGTAACCAACTGATTGTATTGCTTAAACTAGATGTTAGCATAAAAACGCAATAAGTAGTGGAGAGCTCATAATCTATGGAATTGAACACTCGTACACATTCATTTCAGCTTGTCACACATACGTATAGCCATCGTGTGAAATATAACATGTTGTATCATGTAAAGAACATTTACAGATATTTATTCCATTATTTAATAGGTATTAATAAATAATAGCGCTATGAATATAGTAAAAAACCGATGATATATTTGTATAAGAAACGTTCTATGTCACATATTATTTTTATTTTTATCTATTTTGTAAGATTGAACTGATATGTATTTTGTACTGTAATATAAGATCAAATGAATACATAATATCGTGTTATATTGATGACATGAATAAATACCATGTGAAATTAATAATATTCTTTTTCTTGAAATCTTTCTTAGTGGGGTGTAAAAATAAATGGGAATCAATAGAAACAAGGGTGTGGAAATTTTCAAAGCATTTTATTTATGACCTTTAACACTGTGTATAATATATTTTGATAGTACATTTAGAGCAATGAGTAATATTACCAATCATTACATTGTTCTTATTTTCATAAATTGAATGAAATCCATAAATTATATATAGAATATATAATTTTTTAAATATCATTCTCGCCCAACAATCAACAATCACTATCGAATCACAAACCGGGCGCCGCCCGAAGCGAGCCGAGAGAAGCGCAGGCGCCGACGGCACAAACCAATCGAACTGGAAACAACTCAACACAAAACAACTGCTACTCCTATAAAAATAGCGGTATAGCTTAAACAGTATACTCTATAAAAATATAATCCAGCCTCGGCTGCAATCTCTAATTTAAATTTTCTCTTTAGAATTACAAAAATATAACAAATAAACATACTTTGCAAACGAAGTGTTCGAAAAAAGAATAAATAAATAGTTACAAAAAACATCATATAACACCCACCGCATACTCACACGTGATTTATTATTCCTGCCCACTATTCAACTACGTAAACACCATTTTGCTATGCAAAATACATTACTCTATTATTTGAAAAGGAAACGGTAAACATACATGGAATGTTATACAAAATGACTAGAAAAGAAAACGTTTCATTTACAATATTATAATGTCATTTTAATATGAGATCTCTTTATTCGTTCATATTACACATAAAATATTAGAGAATTCAAATAAATAAGCTAGGTACTTCATTGAGAAAGAAGGACGTACGACTATACATTAAGATTCTTGGACATTCATAAGCCTCATATATGTTCCTGAAACATTTTAAACACCGCCGAAACGAACTCGAGTTAGATGGAAGAAAACTAACGATAGCATAGTTCATACAACGGAAGTAATACATCACATAATCTCGACGACAATAATTGTATTAATTTCAATTTTAAGAAATATTATAACACACAGCATGTCTAAATTTGGATAATACTTTTTGATCTTACACCTATTTATTTTAGTCTATGCTAAATTATTATCAGGATATTACCTAGTGTTAGCCGAGTATGTCTACATCAGTGTGTAAGCGGTGACCGGACAACGCGGAGCAACTCGAGTGCCGTCTGTAATCCGAGGGGTATGTACCAAATGGTTAAGTTATTTACAACGACTGAGTCACTTAAGCTTACAATGTTGTCATAAATAGAACTATTTTTGCTCGATTTATTACGAATTGAAAATAGTCACCTAGAAGCGATAGTACAGTGACTTTATAATAATTTATTTATTCAACATTTATCAAGCGGTAACGAGAGTTAAGAATGCTGGACTTAGGCTGTTAGACGAAAGGAATAAAACTAAACATCATCCATATAAAACTACAGTCACATACATTAACTAGCTACGATGATATAAATGTTTTGTATAAATATTACGGTGTCTATGGACAACTCGAATAACCTTGTGAACTTGTTTGTGAACAACGTAACATAGACAATCTATAAACATACTACAAAGTGATCTGCAGCTCAGCATTGATGTAACTATGGCGCTACTCTATCACATACGATGTACTACGCGGAGAGTACATGACTAGAATACAATCATATGTGCCCGCAGGCGCGGGATAGAACGGTCAAACTACGCCAGTAACATCCATATTAACCTACTTTATACAAACCGTTTAAAGATCTCAATAGAACCGATAGTAAAAGACAAAACATCAACACAAAGTATAAATCTGGACTACAAATAAGTAGAGAATAATAAAAATGTCTTACGTTTTTGTAACGTATAGTCTATATTTAACTACAATGTTATAATTAATGTTATGTATTTACAATCAATAGATACTAAAACGTGAAAGAAACTTTACGTATGACATCATACGAATACGGACTATGCCTTCATCGAGTCGGCCTTTTGAGCCTCAAAATATATTTATTCTACCATTCGGGTCATACGTATATACAAGGTAAATTACATTAATAAATGTATCCAACATTAGAAGAAATTTTATATAGTATTTTCAGTGATTTGTCTTTTCACAATACAATTCATATTAAATTCATTCTTGTCTCGCCTTTAGAAATGGAGTCTATCGTGCAACGCCGACGCACACTTGTGCGCAACTCGCAGGTTGCGTCGCTGCCTCTCGCATCACGAACGTCGACAATGTTCCAATATAATTATGATCAAGCATTGATGATATTTCAATAACAATGAAGAAGTATTTAATGATGATTAACCTGTTAATACACAAATGTATCTAACATCCACGTTTTGATCAATGCTTCCAAATTACAATAATAATAAGTAAAGAACATCGTGATCCAAAGACCGCCATACATTACAAATACAATTAAATAAGATAGATTAATGTAAACAGCTTATAAACAACGAGCATCCTCTCCCTAATAGACATTGAAACAGCCATATGATATTCTATACCCATACATTTTATTGTTCCGATTGGTAAAATTCGTCTTTCTGTAAATAGTATTATTATCTTTACCCCGATCCCTATCAGTGCACCGGTTTGGTCCCACCCGCTCACACTTGGCATTCTACTACAAACATGGTTACTGTAAACGATCAAAACGTTATAACACATAAATATATATTACGTATAGATCGTATTTGCATTAAATGCAGACTTCATTAATACTGTTTAAAAAATTGGGGATATGCTAAAATAATTGATTCATAATATTTAGTGATATTTTTCCTATACCATTATCTTGTGGTCCCTAAAATATAAAGAAATATCAATAAAATCAGACTATAATGGACCACAATCGATCATTTCGCACATCGAGCTTGAACACGAATGTTCAAGTGAAGGAAACTTTAAACTTTCTACCAAACCAGCCACGGATATAATTCCTCTGTTTTGACGGATTTTATTCACTTTAGGTCCTCTACGAAATAGTTTGTGTAATAAGAGTTACAATTACAACATCAAGTTTAATAAACATTGTAAAATATTACCTATGTGTAGCACATAAAATTGGCTTTTTGTATACTACCACAACCTTTATCACGTAATGACGACGGATTTCATTCATCTTTATAACTTACAACCCCAATGCCTTTTTATACGCGGGTATAAAAACCATAACATGCGGTAACTGGACACATAGCGTAATTTTATAGTTTTTACGCGCTTTACTTCTAACATTCGATTTATTAATTGCATTTTACAACGCTGAAGGGAAAACGAAAGGAAGAAATGTTATTCCTTTTGTGTACCCGCGTTATATACCCTCAGCTCCCTAGACAAAGTAACTTAAATGACAGTTTTAATTCCGAAATCGCTTTGCTCCGGCTTTTTGTGAAACCGTGAAGCGATTTCGCTTTAATCTGTCATGAATATAACTTTGTCTAGAGAACATACATTGTTACTAAAGCCTGGTCCGTGAGCACGTAGAATTTTGTCCAATGACCCCAAGCTACCCATCCTTATCGCTCGCGGGTAATTATATTGCTATCGCGACTGTGCGACGCGCGCCCGTAGTGAGTGTGCGAGCACTATTCCAACTGATATTTTACAATCCAATCCGTCTTCATTACGCGATCAAGTGAAGCGAGGACACAAAGTGATACCTGGGCCGTTTCAATACCTTGCGGCGGGATGCTTGCTGCGTACGTGTCGCGTGCGCGCGCGCCGCTTAAAAAACGAGGATAGACTCCATTGTGAGGTGGTCTCATGCCGGCGCCGCGCCCGCCAGCCGCCGGCCCGAGCGCGACCTGGCGGAGAACACCTTGGGACGTGTATATTGACGGGGTCGCACCACCACACCACAAGCACAGGTTACGGCCCTTTACTAACCATATTTTACGTCATCAACTTGATGGGATCCAATATTTTTTAAAATAAAATATTTGTAAAAATTGTAAAGGGCAATATTTATTATTATTATTGAGCAACTGCAGGAATTACGCGTTTATGGCGAGTTGTAAGCAAAATAAAGTTACGTGGATTTTTTTTAATTAGCTTAAACACTGTTATAATGTAGCAATGTGAATAAAAAACACATTAATGAAAGTACAGATTACTCTATCGCTTTGTATAACGATTATGACAATTTATTTATATCAAAATAATATAATTATATGACAAACAGAATAAGTTACTATATGTTATTTAAAATGTTTAAATATGATTAGTAAAGGGCCAAAATGTAAACGCTATAATGGAATAATTAAACAGTTGCCTACAAAGTAGAAAATGTTAACTAAATCTATGAAAAATGTAAACGATGCGATGTTGCATGCAAAATTATCAAAATACTATAGAAGACGTAATAAATATAATATTTACTTTTTGTCTCACTCATCATTAAACTTTAAGGACAAACGATAAAGTAACGTTTATATTTTTCTGTTAAAATACAATATTACGATTCGTGAGGCTAACTTATTGATCGCATTCAAGAATCGTCAACTGTTGAATACAGAGATCATGTGGCCAGCGAATTTTGTAAGATTTATAACAAAGTTGTTTAAATTACTCGTTAATACATTAATGCATCAACAAATCTTTTTTTTTTTAATTAGGTATTGTTTTACTGGAACTTTATACAACAACAAACAACAAGATCTCAAGTGCTGCCACGTGGCAATGTGAAAGTGTAGGTATAGTGCAGTATAGTGAAGTGTAGTGCAGCAGTATAATGTAGTGTAGTGCAGTATAGTGTAGTATAAGTGCAATATAGTCTAGTGTAGAGCAATATAGTGTAGTGTAGAGCAGTACAGTGTAATGTAGTGTAGTATAGTGCCGTATAGTGTAGTGTGTACGTACAGTATTGTACAGTATAGCGTAGTGTAATGCTGTACAGTTTAGTGCAGTGCAGTATAGTGTAGTGCGGTGCAGTGCATTGTCCTCACCTTATCTGCCCGGCCAGCAGCGGGTTGATGGCATAGAGCCAGTCGTGCACCTCCTTGTCGCCCAATGTCTGCAGCAGGTAGCCGCGCTCCTTGCTCACCACGCTGAAGAAATAAGCATTTTTAGGGTTACGCAGTTCATTGAGCAGGCTCACAGAGAGTTATCAATGAAATATATTCGCCCAGTAGGGTGATATTGTAAAAAATATCGCACGCCTAAGCGTTAAAAGTCAAAAATCCTTATTTAAGCTTTTGGTAAGATGATGAGTTGATTTTGACCGCATCACAAACGTTTTTGTGACAGATTCACGCGAGCGATCGTATACCAATCGAGTAAATAAACATTGTCAGATAAATTAAATTGTTCATGCAAATTGTTTGCAAGAAAAAGTGATCGGTCAATTTAAAAACGGAGAAATTGTTTACGAGGTTTCCATATCGGTAAAAAGTACTGAAAAGTTACCAGATTCAAAAAGTAGGAATTAACCTACACTCTGCGGGCCAGGCGGTTAGACGAGGCATGATGTCATCATAATTCGCCTTCTATCGGCACCCACGGGAAGTATTATACATTTGTCTCGTGGTAGTTACCTGAAGGTGTTGGGCATGCGGACCATCTGCTCCTGGTCTTCAGAATATTCCACGTGCGCGTTGGCGAGGTTGATGACCGCGCGCTCGATGGGTCGCGCTTGTGCAGAGAAAACTGGCACCTAATACGATTGCAGTAGAGGCTACAGTGCGGTAGTTACCTGAAGGTGTTGGGCATGCAGACCATCTGTTCCTGGTCTTCAGAGTATTCCACGTGCGCGTTGGCGAGGTTGATGACCGCGCGCTCGATGGGTCGCGCTCGTGCAGAGCAAACTAGTTCCTAATTCAACAGCAGTAGAGACCACATTGCGGTAGTTACCTGAAGGTGTTGGGCATGCGGACCATCTGTTCCTGGTCTTCAGAGTATTCCACGTGCGCGTTGGCGAGGTTGATGACCGCGCGCTCGATGGGGTCGCGCTCGTCGCGGTAGATGAACACGTACGGTCGCCGCACCACCTATCGATTAAAACATCGATATTTATATCGAGCCGGTCCGATACTTCAACTGCGTCCCAAAAGGACTGTATAAAAAAAACTAAAAAGACTTGGCAAATATTATTGGCGTAAGAAGTAATTCCTAAAAAGACTAAATCCATGTAAATAGTCCCAAGACAAGACCACAATTGACGTTTAAAGGTCTCAATAAGATTTTACTATTCATATAAAAAGTTCTCAAAATACTTAGCCCATACCACCCATGAATTGGCCAATGCCATACGCATAACAAAGTCTCATTATGACTTAGCCCATAATTCATGTTAAAAGATACCAAAAAGACAAACCTAAATAAGGCTGAGTCGCACCATCTTACTTTAACTTTAACCAACGTCAAAAATATATCAAACTCAAATACAAAAAACACCGGTTACTGTTCTCTTCTTCTCAGTCGGTAAACTCTTGTCAGAGTGGTCGTGGTCATCATTGTGAATCACGATTCAGAGTGATGTTCCTCGTAATACGGCGCCATTCCTCGCGGACTGCAGCTTTCCAGGTACTTTCGCTAACCGAGCCCTTAGTTGCGGCCTTGATCTGGTCCGTCCATCTCATTGGTGATCTACCACTTGGTCTGGTGCCCTCAACTTTTCCCTGCACTACGAGACGCCGTTACTGTTAGTTACAGCACAGAATAATAATAAGTACTACGTACAGAAGTTTTACTTCGCGAAGGTATTTAAAAAAATGTATGCTCATTGTCATTAACAATATGGTGTAATTTAGCCTGTCTCAAGAGTCAAGCACCATTTTGTTGACAAACGTCAGTGATCGGCACTGCGCCGAAGCTATAGGGCTGACTTAAGTAAAATGATGTGACGTGAGGTGCCAAACTGCGGAAAATGGCGGAGGAAATACATGATTTAGCATGAATTATCACGAATAATATTAACTACTTATTTACCTCTCAGTGTCTTGAGGCAGCTTAAAAAAGTACATTCTGTGTTTTTATTATTATTTAGGCAGTTAAATACTGCACAGTATTTAGTACACCATTTTCTTTATTTTCTTCCATCATACACAAGAATACGCGTGCGTGAGTCAATGTTCGCTCGTATGTGAGGCCTTGTCGAATAGTATCCTGTAGGTGGGCCATCGTGCGTGTTTTGTTTTCGATGTAAACTTTTGGAGATGAACAGGCCTGGTTACAGTTAAAGTAAGTCGGTGCAACTCAGCCTAAAACCGTCACATACCAGCCACCGCTTCTTCCAGCCATGCGTGCCGTGCTGCAGCACGTTGAGGTGGCCGCGCCGCGCCACGGCCGCCGACACGCGCACCTCCTCGCACTCCGGCACGTACAGCGCGCCCGCTGCTAGGGCGCCGCCCACGCCCGCCGCGCCCGCCCAGCCAGACATGGACTTTTCGAGAAGCGCACGCTCCGGGGAGCATAGCCTGTAAAAATTATGTCAACAACGTGAGCACGTACAACGTGCCCGCTCCTGCGCCACCCAATACGACATAGACTTTTCAAGGAGAGCGCGCTCGGGAGATGGTAGTCTGAAGGAACGATATACTCATTGACAGGGGTGAATAAACAAACATTTGCGTGCCCTTGTGATTCCATTCTAACACGTAAAACGCGCCCACGAAAGTACAACATCGATTTCTCTAGCACCGCGCGTCCGAGCTAGCATAGTATGTAAAGACGGGACATTATCAATCCGGCACGTACAGCGCGCCCGCGGCCTGTAAGAACGATATGCTCATTGCGTGTAAAAGCGCTTTTTAAAAGCCTATTTGCAAAAATAAATGAATTTTATGAATTTTATTGACAAAGATTTGCGTGCTCTTGTGATTCCATTCTGACACTTAATTTCTCTAACACCGGGCGCCCGGGCTAGCAGTAAAAGACGGGACATTTTCACTCCCGCCCGCTGCCCGCCCAGCCCGACATGGATTTTTCCAGAAGCGCACGCTCGGGAGAGCATAATCTGTGAATATGAACGAACAAAATGACTCGGGAACGTAAACTGCGCCTGCCCGCCGCTAGGGCGCCGCCCACACCCGCCGCGCCCGCCCAACCAGACATGGACTTTTCGAGAAGCGCACGCTCGGGAGAGCATAATCTGCAAGGACAGTATGACAATGACGGTTGAGATAAGATAAATGGCTGGCAGAAGAATTATCACGCAGTCTGTAAGAACAGAACAATTGGGGTTGATTAAAAAAAGATCTCAATCCCCGCCCAGCCGGACATGGACTTTTCTAGAAGCGCACGCTCGGGAGAGCATAGCCTGTAAGAATTACGTCATCATCGTGAGCCCGCAAGCACGTATAACGTGCCCGCTCCTACGCCACCCAATATAACATAGACTTTTCAAGGAGAGCGCACTCGGGAGACCATAGTCTGAAGGAACGATATACTCATTGACAGGGATGAATAAACAAATATTTGCGTGCCCTTGTGATTCCATTCTAACACTTAAAACGTGCCCGCGAAAGTACAACATCGGTTTCTCTAGCACCGCGCGTCCGAGCTAGCAGTATGTAAAGACGGGACATTATCACTCCGGCACGTACAGCGCGCCCGCTGCTAGGGCGCCGCCCACGCCCGCCGCGCCCGCCCAACCAGACATGGACTTCTCGAGAAGAGCACGCTCGGGAGAGCACAGTCTGCAAAAGGGATGGTATATGACGACCGGGGTTCGGTGGTGGCGTTAATAAACATAAGGAAAATCATCATTCTAATCACTATCTCGCGTAATTCGCACCCGCGTTTGCGCCCGATATAGATTTCTCTAGGAGCGCATGCTCAGTCTTAATCTGTAAAAGGAGCGGTATACGTTGACAGCCGGGGTTCGATAAAAATACAACGGATACATCACTAGCGGACGTAAAGAAGCCCGATATGGACGTCTCTAGAAGCGCACGCTCGGGTGAGCCTAGATAGTTTGTTAAGTGAGACGGTTTAGGGTTGACGACGAATTGATACATTATCAGTTAGGGTTGGATAAACATAGATCGGAATCGCGTCATCATAATAGCTCCGGCACGTACAGCGCGCCCGCCGCTAGGGCGCCGCCCACGCCTGCCGCGCCCGCCCAGCCAGACATGGACTTTTCTAGAAGCGCACGCTCGGGGGAGCATAGCCTGTAAGGGCAGACAGTAAAGGTGTTGACAGGTTGTCATGGTCAAAATCACTCCGGCACGTATAATGCGCCGCCTAGGCTGCCATTACAGCGCCCTCTCAACCAGGCATGGATTTCTCGAGGAGGGCACGTCATATAGTCTGTAAATACGCGACATGGCGGGTTGAATAAAAAAAGATCATGGTCAGCATCACTCGGACATGTATTACGAGCCCAAGATCGCTCACTAACCGCTCAACCTAACAGAGACTTCTCTAGCAGCGCTCGCTAGGGCGATCATAGTCTATAAAAGGGACGGTACACGTTGTCAGCCGAGGTTCGATAAAAATACATCGGAAACATAACTAGCATGTGTACAAAAGCCGACATGGACCTCTCTAGGAGCGCACGCAGGTGAGCATAGTCTGCCAGTAGGCGAAGTTAGGGATTGACGTATTAACAGAACCGGATTTAAACTAATCGGAATCACATCATTATGACCACTCCGGCACGTACAGCGCGCCCGCCGCTAGGGCGCCGCCCACGCCCGCCGCGCCCGCCCAACCAGACATGGACTTTTCTAGAAGCGCACGCTCGGGAGAGCATAATCTGTGAATATGAACGAACAAAATGACTCGGGCACGTAAACTGCGCCCGCCCGCTGCTAGGGCGCCGCCCACGCCCGCTGCGCCCGCCCAGCCAGACATGGATTTTTCTAGAAGGGCTCGCTCGGGAGAGCATAGCCTGTAAGGGCAGACAGTAAAGGTGTTGACAGGTTGTCATGGTCAAAATCATTCCGTCACGTATAATGAGCCGCCCATAACCTGGATCATAGCAGGAGCATAGCCTGTAAGAACGATATGCTCATTGACAAATATTTGCGAGCCCCTGTGATTCCATTCTAACACGAAAAACGCGCCCACGACAGTACAACATCGATTTCTCTAGCACCGCGCGTCCGAGCTAGCATAGTATGTAAAGACGGGACATTATCACTCCGGCACGTACAGCGCGCCCGCCGCCAGGGCGCTGCCCACGCCCGCCGCGCCCGCCCAACCAGACATGGACTTCTCGAGAAGCGCACGCTCGGGAGAGCACAGTCTGCAAAAGGGATGGTATATGACGACCGGGGTTCGGTGGTGGCGTTGAATAAACATAAGGAAAATCATCATTCTAATCACTATCGCGCGTAATTCGCGCCTGCGTTTGCGCCTGACATAGATTTCTCTAGGAGCGCATGCTCAGTCTTAATCTGTAAAAGGGACGGTACTCGTTGACAGCCGAAGTTCGATAAAAATACAACGGATACATCACTAGCGGACGTAAAGAAGCCCGATATGGACGTCTCTAGAAACGCACGTTCGGGTGAGCCTAGATAGTTTGTTAAGTGAGACGGTTTAGGGTTGTCGACGGATTGATACATTATCAGTTAGAGTTGGATAAACATAGATCGGAATCGCGTAATTATAATAGCTCCGGCAAGTACAGGACCGGACATGGATTTTTCTAGAAGAGCACGCTCGGGGAAGCATAGTCTGTAAGTGGGGATTGTATACGCGTACAGTTTGAATACAGTAAAGCCCAATCTAGCAGCGTGCGCTCGGGTGCAGTCTGTAAAGAGATAGTAAACGTTAACTGCCGGGCTCAATAAAATACATCGGAATCATCACTACCGCACGTAAAATGTGCTACGCCCTTCTCGGCATCGACTTCTCTAGCAACACGCGCTCGGGCTAGCAGTATGCTAGGGCGGTGTACGAATAGGGTATTTGACACCACCAATCAATTGACGTACTTTTTAAAACTGTCAAAACGACACTCTCCCATAGATTTTGTACGGCAATACTAGCATGTGACGTCACAATTTTATCAACTCAATGAAACTACTTTTTTCAATTATAATGCAACGAAAAATCGTAATTTACAGGTAATTAAAAATTAATTAAGTTTTTAAGACCAGAAAGAAGTGTCTTTTTAAAAAAGTTGTGCTTTAGAATTATTGGGAAATGGTGTCAAATACCCAATTGACGATTTAGTTTGAATAAACATAGATCGAATCCAATCCAAAATGATATTATCATCATCACTCCGGCACGTACAGCGCCACCCATCATCACAGCGCCCATCCAAACAGTGATGGATTTCTCGAACAGCGTATTCTCGGGTGAGCATGTCTGTAAGTACGCGACAGTTCGATACTGACACACCACGTAAGAGTAGGTTACAAGGGGGTTACGCATTGACAATCAAATTTAAATAAACGAACAAAAGGTCGAACGAACTTCATAAAAGTTATCCTGTAAACTAAAGTTAAAATATGAGTAAATAAAATGTGTTGGTATCTAAAATAAATTACTAAATCTGCTGAAAAATCATCTTCAATAGAGGTTAGATAGTCAACATGTGAGTGACATAAAATAAGTTTTTTTTAAATAAGTCAATGTTTTGAGGTTAATAAGTCAAAGTCGCTTGGTGTTTCGAAGCAGAGATTCGTCAGCAGATTTCTTATTGATTTGTTGAAATAAGCTAGGCGAAGTGTTGTATGAAGAAAAAAATAAACAGAAAAGGAGTAGAAAATAAATCAGATTTCACCAACCAATAGAAAGAGCGAGCAAAAGTTAACGCACTGTGCGGTTCCAAAATTCCCAAACCTTCAGGGCCATGTTATGAAGCGAAGTCCCTTAACGGTGGCGCTTGGCTCGTAGGGTGTCATAGTAGCTGGCGAGATATGACGCGAGCTATGAGAAGAAATGCGGCGAGTGATCGAGTAACTTTAGTTTTTTTCAGTATTAAAATTGGAATATAATAACCAGTTTTGAATGGGATTATGGAAATAAATGTATTTTTATTTAATCTATTTTTGCTGTAAAATTTCTTTAAATAACAGCATTGTGATAAATACAACATTGAAAGTACAGACAACAGCACTTGATGAGCTTTAAACACCATCTCGTTCGTTCGTTTCAGCCAAATGACGTCCACTGCTGGACAAAGGCCTCCTCCAAGCCAAACATTATCTAATATTGTTGTAATAGTAGATAAAATGTAGCCTGATGTGCTGTTGTCTGGACAATGGTTTTGCTTGAATTTTAATGATGTTACTATACTATGTAGGATTACTAGCCTAGCAGCTTTGTTGTTTAAAACGAACGTGAATGACAAATAGATTACAAAACTAAAGCTAACTGATCACTCTTTCCAAAAACGATTTCAATGTATTTCCACCTCCATCACCCACACCAATACACCGAAATCGCACCTCTTCCCAACACTCACACCATTCCCCTCCAGCCACCATCGAAGCGGTGAAAAAAACAAAAGATGGGATCTAACTTAGATATCAGTTTAACGCAAAGGTGTAGCACTAACTCGAAGCTGCTCGCGCTGTGGATGGACGACAGCAGGCTGGGCGTAGACAGGTCGGCTGATACGCCTTCGTCGACTGGGGTAGCGGGCGACCCGGCCGCTTCTAGTTCCTTGCCGCCGGAGCCTATCCGACCTGCGGAGATAGATGGTTGAGTAAGTGCCCTGAAAAGGGCTTAAGAAAGAATTTGAACTAGATAGATAATTTTCATTGCACACAAAATACTCGTAGACATAATAAAGGAAATACAAAATCAAAACGGTAGAATTCAGGCGGTTTTATCGATTGGAAGTTTTCCCTTTCCATAAGTTCGAATAGAACTCTTTTTTCATCATCGCAATTTCAGCTCAAGAATCTAATGTTGAATATACAGGNGATGATAGAAGGTAAAACTCCTTTATGCTTAGGAATTGGAGGATAATTCTTTTAATTTTATAAATAAGTATAGTTTCTAAAGTTATTCAAGTGTTCACATCAGATATTCATCATCTCATCATGATGAATTGGTCATGGTAGGTACAACTCCTTAATGCTTAGGAGTTGGAGGATAATTCTTTAAATATTATAAGTGCAAATAGACCAACAGTTGTATTCTTTCATGTTTTTAAGGTGAGCTGTCGGTTTAAGGTCTTTTAGGTTTCCTATATGGTAACCTGTATTTTGTATGGAATATTATTAACACTAGACATGAAGAATATGGTGTCAATGTACTGCCTACCTTCAGTGGTAACATCAAGGTAATAATTAGTTAACTAAAAAGCAAGAAATAAGTAAAATTTTATTTTATTTTAGGCAAACTTTACATGTTTCATAATCTTGGCACCGACTCCAGAAGTATCAATCATGGTATACCTACATAAATATTAATTCGTCCTAATAAATAAGCAGGAAATTAGTAATTATTTTTCTACTTTTTAGTGTAGGTTTTTTGGAGTCGGTTTTATTTTTTTTTATAAAATTTTATTAATATTGACACACGCTTTTTTCTTCTTTATCACTGGTGGCAAATCAACATAAGTCGACCCAGATCCACATAATGGATCATATTTGTTAATATTTACTTCTAAATAAACATTACTCAGAAAAGTCCATCCACTATCACGTTCCTGAAACTCTTCAACCTTCTTTTTTATGATATTTAATACTGATGTAAATAAGCGCTTAAATGCAAAGTTACGATGAACAATAATATTTTTAGTTGCGAACGATTTTATTTGTTGTTCGTTATTTTTGAACAAAAGGAAATTACCAAAATATTCTAAATTTACTTTGATGCTTACATGTTTTTTAAGAGAACTCTGTAAAAGTTTGTAGAGTTTGAATTCTACGCTTTTTAAAAATAAGTCTGGAAAAGAATGTTCTGTTTCGGTCGTCACCGGTAACCTGTAGGAGGCTATGCGACCGCGGAACGCAGACGCGACTTCAACGACTCCGTCCTGAGCGACCGCCGCGCACTTGTTCTTGTGCGCGGTGCTCCGCAAGTGGCCAACCCATTTCCTTCTATCAACTTGAACGGCACACCCAGAGCAGAAGGGCATCTTCTTAGTTAACCTAACTTAACCAGTAATTAACTTTAACTAACCTAACTTAACCAGTAATGAACTTTAATTAACCTCGGAACCTGTCTTCTAAAGATTGGAATTATTTTGTAGCTAATAAAACTTTACTTTTATTGATTTTATGTAATGTACCTATTTACTAATGTATTATGTAACTTGCTGAAATATGTGAGTTCGTCGAAACGTGGTTTGGGCTAGGTACCGAGGTTAATTAAGTACTATAACACTAAGGAGAACCAAAGTAACCGACATAGCTCGCAGAATTGCTAAAATCAAGTGGCAGTGGGCGGGGCACATAGCTCGTAGAGACGATGGCCGTTGGGGCAGGAAAGTTCTCGAGTGGCGACCACGGGCTGGAAAACGTAGCGTGGGCAGGCCTCCTACTAGGTGGACCGACGATCTGGTAAGGGTCGCGGGAAGAGCCTGGATGCGGGCAGCGCAGGACCGTTCATTGTGGAAAACCTTGGGGGAGGCCTTTGTCCAGCAGTGGACGTCATTTGGCTGAAACGATAACACTTGGTAAATTCTTGCTGTAATTGTCGACAATTTTTGGTTTTTTGGAAATAATCCCGTTTTTAACTTTATCTACCTTGGTTAAAAATTATTATTCTAATGTGCCCAAAATTCAAGTTTCTGGCTTAAATGAGGTGGAGAAGCCATTTTAAAAGGTATGAGCGGGACGGAGAGGGCCATCTTACCAAGCAGGGATGTTATGGATATCCGTAACCGTAACCGAAACTATCGGATATCCGAAATAAAAAATATCCATAACCGTAACCGAAACTGATTCAAAAGTTACGGATAGTTTCGGATAAAGGCGGAGTCTAAGGGTACAATTATTCCAAACTGCAAAACTCTATGAAATCTGCAGTACGCCGCAGCAGCAATGCCGCGCTACCGATTTCATAGTGTTTTGCAGTTTGCGGTCTGCGGCCCGTCTTGGAATTGTACCTTAAATCTTAATATTTGTTACCAACTTGTCATTTCAGAACTTTAAGGCTTATTCCAGAACTTTGCCCCATCAGCCGTCAGTTCGGCGTGCTTTTCACGATATACCTACTTTACAATCTACAAAATGTTACAGTTACGATTCACCATCGTCATTATTTCAGCCACAGGACGTGCACTATTGAATATAAGCCTCCCCCAATTTCCACATCGCCCGATTGTTACATAGTTACGGTTGTTGTATTACATTGTGTATTATTATTATTATTGGTTTTTTGGGCCTACATTTGCGCCAGCTCGACCAGATTTGATCTATTGTGGCAGCCCTTGTGTTTAGAGTTCACTGCTGAATCCCGTTGAGTCTATAAATTTCCAGATTCTTTGGTGCGTGATATCTGCTATCGCATCCGGGTGCATGATGTGTCGCCCGAGATGGATACTTCTTTTGCTAATAAGCGGGCCGCATGAGCAGAGATCATGCATGGCCGTTTCTTCTTCTGTATGGCAGAATCTGCACAGCTATAGTCTGGCCCGGGTGCACGTAGAATTTTGTCCAATGACCCCAAGCTACCCATCCTTATCGCTCGCACGTAATTATGTTGCTGTCACGCTCGCACACTCACTGCGGGCGCCCGTCCCACAGTCGCGACAGCAATATAATTACGCGCAAGCGATAAGGATGGGTAGCTTGGGGTCATTGGACAAAATTCTACCTGCTCCCGGACCAGACTATACATTGTGTATACACTCACCCTGTATGAGCTTGATGTATTTCGTAGCCAGTTCGCGCTCGCGCGGCGTCATCTCCCACGGCTGGTGCGCGGATTCATCACGTGGTGCGTGCGCGCACTCCGCCGCCGCCTTCGCCGCCATGTTGGATACCTCCTGTGAGGGGTCACGTGGTTACAAACTAATTGATAACAATAGCGGACTGGACACTTTCCGACAATTGAAATGAGTTTTTTTTTTAATAAAAACAGATTTAGGGCTGATTTTCCAATCGTCAGATATCTTTTAACTAAAGAATAATCGTGTCATTTTGACATGTTTCCCATACTAAATCTGTCAATGTGCCAAACTTATTCTTCAGCTAAAAGTTATCCGAGTATTGAAAATCAGCCCTAAAGGTTTATTTTTTCAGACATTTACTTCAGAAGTCACACTTCTGCAATCAATCTTAAAGTAACTGCTACTTTAAAAAACAAATCATTATTTGTGTGTAAGCTGCAAACAAGCGTACAGTGACGAATACGCGTCTAGTCTAGTACGCTACGCACCGTCGACTATTTTTTGCTTTTGGCAGCATCGATTTGCCTAATCGAAGGTATCCAAAAGACATTTGGATATCTTAGGCAAATCCTATGATGTATAAACATATTATTTGGATTTTAACACACATAAATGTAATGTATCCGTGTACGTTATTAATCTGACGTTCAATCAAACCATATTGAACCTTAACACAAGTGCACAGAACCCACCTTCTCCGTCTTGGTGAAGTCGTTGGGCGCGACGGAGTTGTCGTGGATGTTCAAACCAACTTGAACCTTAACACAAGGGCACAGAACCCACCTTCTCCGTCTTGGTGAAGTCGTTGGGCGCGACGGAGTTGTCGTGGATGTTCAAACCAACTTGAACCTTAACACAAGGGCACAGAACCCACCTTCTCCGTCTTGGTGAAGTCGTTGGGCGCGACGGAGTTGTCGTGGATGTTCAAACCAACTTGAACCTTAACACAAGGGCACAGAACCCACCTTCTCCGTCTTGGTGAAGTCGTTGGGCGCGACGGAGTTGTCGTGCCCGTGGCGCAGTCGCTCGCGCAGCGCCAAGAAATGCCGCGTGCGCCCCACTTGCTCCAGCCGCGTCATTTTCTCCAACTCCCACTGAGGACAAGTAACGTCTTAGTAAGGGGGCGTCCATTAATTACGTGAGACAATTTTGGCAATTTTTCAACCCTCCCGCTCCCCTTGGTGAGATTTTTAAAGACCCCCTCCCCCTCCCCAAAATCTCACGTGAGATTTCTTAAAATGCATATTATTTGCAATGTAAATGGGTTATCTATGCTTCGATTAGGATTTAATATTAAAAAAACCGTTTCTCCTAATTTCTTTATTGTTTAGAAGGTTTAGAATAAAAAATTGAATAATTTATCATTATCATCACAAAATATTTTTTTTTTAATTTAAAATAACCCAGTTTTGTCGCAATGTCACCCTTTTTCTTACACGAAAAAAAATTACGTGATATTTGTCGAGATCCCCCCTCTCCCCTACGTGAGATTTAGTGAGGTTTTTCTTGACCCCCTCCCCCCCTAAACGTCTCACGTAATAAATGGACGCCCCCTAATATGCGATATAAGAGCCAAATTACACCACAGTAGCTTGCATATGATCGAGTATCCATACACTAAAGCCATGAGCCAACACTGAACATCAGAAGTAGTTCTTTGCAGTAAGTGATATGAATTTGAACTGGAATGTCGCAATGTTCCTGGTATGAAACGAAAAGAATACGGTTGGATTTTTTATGGGGCACCACATCATTAACGCTAAGCTCGAAGCTGTTTTGTTCGTTGTTCTACCACCAAGTGATCAAAACACCATCATAAAAAAAATGAAGTAATTCAGAAAAGGCACAAAAGATATATACTCAACATCAAATAAACCGCACCTTCCGCGACGCGAACTTTAACGATTTTCTTCTGACACAATCATGGTGCCCCAACAATATTGGTGTTATTTGAAAGCCCAATAAATATACTTAATGAAAAACACATTTAATTTCTTAATAAATGATTAACATTATACCATAAATGTGACTTGAAAAAATACCTCACTTTGGGCCCACCTATGGGATCAATTAGTCCAATTTTTATGGATATAAAACCAAATAATGATCTCACGTGTCCTCTTTAACAGATGAATAGCGATTAATCCCAACTTAACAATTTTATAGCCATAAAAGTTGGCTCTACCGTAACTACCTATTTTTTGAAGAAGTGACTCTAGATCCTTCTAAAGACACATTTTTGGGATAAAAACCTTTCCTTTAGTGAAATGAAGGTTAGAACTAGGCTTTCAAATGGTGCCAATATTGGTGGGAAGTGGGGAAGCATTCGTTTGAAAATGCTTGTCGCGGGAGGTGCGATTTATTTGATGTCGAGTGTAGTACATATTTCACTGACGAAAACAGTGTTAGGTTTTAATCAAGGATAAAACCAAGTGATTGACGAGACAAATTAATTTTATATCAGTCGTAAAGCATCCACTGACCTGGTGGTCGAATATCAGCGAGTCCCCGCGTGGCCTCCAGCCATGAAGGTTCTCTTCGCCTCGCACGTATGTTCCGCTGGTGTCCAATACGCGTCTCTGTCGTCGCTGTACACCTGTGAAAACCAGCATGTCGTCAATATACATCACCTTAGTAATCCTAAATAAAGTTAAAAAAACAACTGGGATCGTACAATGTACAGCATCGTTGTGTTTTTGGCAGTTGGAGGTAAGATTAGGCAGTTCCTCCACCGTTCAAGTAGATCTCATTCCATCACTTGATCATCACTTTCCATCCATCAGGTGAATGTAGGCTCAAAGCCTTCCCATGATGGTTTAAAAAAATATATCAAAATCATACTGTATGCAATGCTCGAACGAAGTTCTCATTTCCGTTGCAACGTATTCCAGTCTGTCATTTTACCCCTAAAGAATTTAAGGTACCTCTTAGCAACCGTACCTGGCTCCAAGGCCCGGTGAAGGCTCAGCTCGTATAATCCGGCGATGCGGTCTGCGCGGGCGGCGCGGGGCCCGAACAGGGCCCGTTTCAGGGAACGTCCCGAGCGGGCCTCGCGACCCACCACTACGACTGACAGGTCCTTTGTGATGATGGCTGGTCGGCCGCAGTTCTCCACCTATCGTGAAAAATAATACTATGGTTAAAGTTTGCAAAGTATACATCAAATCTAAGGGCCACACCGACAGAGATGGAAAAATACAAACTTGCATTTTGAGAGATGGAAACTGCAAGCGTCTTTTATCTAGAGATGCGTACCTAGGTATCGTTAGCTTGAATATAATACCTATGATTTGTAACTGTCTAGTCTGCAGTCCGGTCGCCGAGCACGTAGAATTTCGTCCAATGACTCCAAGCTACCCATCCTTATCGTTTGCGCGTAATTATATTGCTGTCGCGATTGTGCGACGGGCGGCCGCAGCGAGTGTGCGAGCGTACTAACATAATTACGCGCGAGCGATAAGGATGGGTAGCTTGGGGTCATTGGATGAAATTCTACGTGCTCGGCGACCGGGCTTTACATAACGTTAGGATATTGTCTGTCACCCAATAACGTATGTGATTCTATTCTTCTACAGAATAATTATAAGCGCTAGATTTGTGTTAGTTTACCTCGAGGTAAGCGCTGAGCGTGATGTAGACCACCTCGCCGTTAGCGCTGACCCTGTTGAGCAGCGGCGAGCCGTGCAGGCTGCTGTCCCACGCCGCCTCGAACCTGGGGAAGGGAAAAGTTATACAATAATCTCCATTTGATGGGATGCTAATAGAGCAGAGACTGAGTCAGAATAGATGCAGTATGTTCGGTAAAATATTATGATCACCAAAAACTGTTTTCATATTACTTATGTAACGCCAAGACGAGTACATAAATTATTGTTCTCTAATAAGTTATCAGATCTTATAGAGAGCTAAGATTCATTTCATAGCGTTTAGCTTTCTGCGTTAATCCGAGTCATAAGTTTTCTACAGTTAAGAGTACTTCCTACAAACCCCACACTTTTGTCAAAATAAGAGACCAAGCCATACTACAAGGGGTTAATCTTAATAATCTTACTGCAACCTACATCTTGAATCAGAAAATAGATAATGGACATGAATGTGGTTTAAATATTGTTAATAGCACTCCAATAAACGATAAAACTTGATTCACAAAAAAACAAAAGAAGGAATGTACCTGAATACGGCCCTGTCGTCGAGCGTGGGCCTCTCTCCCGGGAAGAGTCCCAGCGAGAGCGCGCCGTCCTCGTCGCCGTCTGTTGTGTCCTCATTAGCCTCTGGCGTGTTGCGGATGCGGCCTGTCGACAATGTTACATGCTCACTAATTGCTCCATAATAATAGATTAACTGGGCCTTATTACAAAAAAGTTAAACGCGCATTGAACATTTATTTAAATAGACATTTAGTATGAAAATGACATTTTAAATTAGTGGTGTTGAACACGCGTAATAACGCAAACGTCCAGGAATCATCGTGCTTTTAACAATAACTATCTCGAAAGACTTGAACAATGATAAGTCATGCCTCTAGGAACACGTGACATAATGATGGTTAGTTTTGTTTTTATTGCCTACGTTATTTGCAAAAATGATAGATACCAATTTTTCTTTCTATTTTTTTTTCTTTATAAGTAAAACGAATGCCTCATTGAATGGATTGAAAAGCAAAGAGCAAAATTTTAAGAAATGTAAGTTACTTAGTTCTTTCGAATTTGTGAGAGTCCATACATTAACTATTTATTACAAGCTTTTTATTACTTTCATTTGTTTTGATGTCGCTTACCAACAACAAGCTCCCTGACATCGGCCCACTGCAAATCAGACGAAGGCTCGTGCAGGATAGTGATGCGGATACGGCGCTGGATGCCCTGGTGCAGCACGAATAGCCCGCGGCAGGGTAAGTCGTCGCTGTGCTCCACCACCTGGTAAGGAGATGTTGGGTTCAGTTTGCTGGTGGATTTAGATTCTTCTAAAGGTATAAGGTTCAAAATGCTGCAAAACTGTTTCAGAACTTAGTGCATTTTGAACTTCATATTTCACGTCAATAGTTTAAAAAATTCACTAATAATTGTTGTTGTATTGTTTAAAATGTGATAGACATCGATCAGCTATGATCAGGTTAGGTTTAATAGAAATTATACGGAACGACGCGCGCTAAATGAAAGGTTTGGAGTTACGTACTTACACACGGCCACACTGTTAACTATTCATATCCGTTTTTGCTCTCGCTCTCATCAAATGGTGATTGTTTGCGATAGAACGAGATGACATGACAGACAATGTTAACACTGTTGCCGATGGTACAAGTTTTTACAATAAACTAGGGCTTTTTTTGTCTAGGCGTCTACGGGTTCAGGATTTCAGGTGAAGTTGGATTCCACTTCAGTATTATCATCTCTTTAAATCAAGAGAGATGCAGACCAATAAATTATCTATTGTGGTGTCGTGAAGAATTGGCCGTAACTTAGTGACTAATTTCAATTAAAATCATTAAAATCTTAGAGCCTATGAGAGCACAATACTCACCGCAGGCACGTAATCGCCACTAGGCGCCAACTCGCAAATCTCGAACCACACCAGCAGATCGTGTTTAGAATGCAGATGGCTCGAGCAGCAGGGAGGTGCAACACTAGCAGCGCCCCACTTAGGGCTGCGAACCGGCGCCGAGATTGGAATAGAGGGCGGCAACATACGCCGGGGCGGCGTGCGCCCGGCGACAACCCCGTCTTGCTTCGCGTCCTGCATAACAAAGCTTTGCTGCTATCGAACAACAAAAGTTTCAACACTTTAATACGGCGAATTTTGCACGCTGGTAAATATGGACAGAAGTGTAAAGTACGGCCAACTAGCAGCGATACAAAAGGATTCGACTGTCGAGTTGACAATCTATTCTGTCTCTTCCCATCTTGTGTATTTGTCGTAATGTCTCGTTCTCCCGCCAAAATATGTCAAAGTTAGACGGATTCGTCAACATTTGGACATCCATTTTAGTATACATAGTTGTTGCAATTCACATTATTTATTATTTTATTTATTTATTCCGATATATTTAAGTCTCGATGAAAAAGGGCACCATACACCGGGCACATTGTCAGGCAGAAATGTTATTATTATTCTCGCTATTGAATTTAAATCTACATTATACAATAATTCAAATTATAACAATAACAAAATTCAATAAAACATCTATTTGTATGGTTTGCCAGATATTTTTTAAAACTATATTGTCTACAAAAATATGTAAACTAACTATTAAAAAGTTATGCACCCCTGCTATTCCAAACGACCATGACATTGGGTTTGTTTACATTTGGTATCGCTTCTCGTTGGCCGTACTTTAGTGATGTGGTTGTCATATTTACACAAGTTTTAACGTGCAAAGTGCCAGCTTAAAGTGAGTCTACTTTGAATTAATAACAATAAGATTAGTTTAGAATTTCATGAACGAAGAAAACTTAGTGCCTCAATTTAAGATATCTGGATAGAAAGTTGATAGATAGATATGAGATTCTTTTTATTGCACACCACACAAAACTGACAAAAGAAAGGGTGCAATTTAGACATGAACTTTTGTCTTATGTATTTGTTTATAAATTCTCACCTTGTGCAATGGATGTTGCTGGTAGTGACCGAACACTTCGAAAACAATCGGTTGCGTTTTTATGTATTCGACAAACGATTTCGTCACAGGTACCGTGATCTGCGGAAAAATGGATTGTCGGTTAGTTACACATATTTTGTTAACCCTTAACCAGGCTCTTGTATCCACAGAGCCCACATAAAATTGAACTTTATGCTGTAAAGATATAGTTGAAAACCAATGACTTTTTTTTAGTCTAGTTAGAGTTAAAAATAAAATAATGAGCAAATAGCTAACTTACATTCTGTACGTGGTAGAAACCGAGTGGTGTATTTTTTCCTGTATTCTTGACGGGTTCCGTCGAGAATGCATCTTCGTTGCGATGTAGGAAGCTGTAACAATATGTAATGTCATCCAATTAATTATTTTATTTTATTTGTTAACATTATATTGTTACACAAATGCGAAAACATGTTAATGGTGTTCAGTTTCTTAAGCAGTGGTTTTTAGACTGTTATTGTTTCACTGTACATACAGTAAACATTTACCGAAGAAAATAAAATAAAATAAAAATAAACATTACATTTACAAATTCAAATTCATTATATTTGTACAATCAAGTACATTTATTACTTGTATGTTAAGGAGAAGTTGCAACTTCCATAGAAAATTACCCCACGTCCGACAGCTATGAAAAATAATAATATCTCATTTTTAATAGCTATCGCTTTTTGCTCAGATTTATCACAGTTTATTTAAACTTATATAATTATTATAGTAATATTTTTACAGTAAGGATGATCACTGAAAGTATATCATTATTTTCATACGAATTCTTAGCAATTTTTTGAGATACTTCTTGTTGAAGTCGGAAATTGGAGCGTGGTTGGGTTGGTTTTTGCAACTTCTTCTTTTACATTTATAACAAACAAATAAAGAAAAAATACATATTTGGACACATTAAGAACTACAAGTTACAAAACCAATACAATCGGCACATCGCAACATTTGATTTAAATATGAATCTTTACAACACAATACACAGAGGAAAAAAAGGATAAACCATGTAGAAACATAATTTACCTTTTTTTTCCTTTTACAAGTACATTGTGGCGGTATACAATGTTCCTGGCTGGTGACAAAAAGAAGAACTTACTCCAACTGGCAGAAGACATAAGCGTAGTCCAGCCGTTGTTTGCGTCACGCTCGTCCGCTGCCGTCTCTGAGTGCGTACATTCGGCGGACCCAGAGATGGCGGCGCGCGAGTGACCGCTCCTCTACGTTGAATCGTAGAATCCACATCACGTATGAATTTTTCGTAGACTTAGCGTAGTTTTAGAGTAGGTTTCTAAAGTCAAAGTCAAATTTCTTTTATTTGTATAGACTATTATATGTATAGTGCTTACAAATCGTCAAATATTTTGCTCTTAAGGAGCCTCTACATGTCTCATAATGTTTTTACCCTACCAGCGCTTCGAGACCAACATTTGGCAAGTGCTGAGAAGAAGCGCCGCAATGAACTCAGTCACCACTGTCTGCCGGTTAATATAAATAAGTATATTCTACTCTGTGCACTCACTCGAACTTGTGACGTCAGCATACGTCCGTTGTCTGTGTGGCACTCGCGCGCCGCCATTTCCGAATCCACACATGGTAGATCCGGAAATGGCAGCGCGAGGGTGCCTGCTCCCTTTCCCGCGTGAAATCCCATCACACTTATCACACTGCCTGCTTATACTATGTTACGATACAGATACGTTCTTGCGTAAGCCTGCATAAGTTTAAGCGTAGTCCCCACTCTTGAAGAAGTCTTCAGCGTAGTCCGGCGCCCGCTGTGTGTGGCACCCGCGCGCCGCCATCTCTCAATCTATTACTGGTAGATCCAGAAATGGCAGCGCGAAGGTGCCGTTCTCCTTCGCGCGTGAAATCCCGTCTCACGCGTCCGCATCACTCTGTCTGCTTATACTGTTTCGATACAGGAACGTTCTTGCGTTTTAGCGTAGTCCCTAAAGCCTGGTCCGTGAGCACGTAGAATTTTGTCCAATGACCCCAAGCTACCCATCCTTATCGCTCGCGCGTAATTATATTGCTGTCGCGACTGTGCGACGGGCGCCCGCAGTGAGTGTGCGAGCGCAACAGCAACATAATTAAGCGCGAGCGATAGGGATGGGTAGCTTGGGGTCATTGGACAAAATTCTACGTGCTCACGGACCAGGCTTTAGACTTGAATTGGCAGAAGACATTAGCATAGTGCGGCGTCCGTCTGCGTCGCACTCGCGCGCCGCCATCTCTGGGTATAACAAAGTATCTCCAGAGATGGCCCGGCGCGGGTGGCCGCCTATTGGTTGCACCGCTAGTAAATGAGCCTCGTAATGTCGTACTCTGTTTACATTTTTGTGTCTTCTATGTACATCTGTTCCTCTATTTCTTCTCACATAAACACATAAACTGGTAGAAAATGAAAAGTCCAGCGCACGCTGCTTGCGTCGCATTCAGCGTGCGCTGTCTATATTATAGACAAAGTTGACGCATGATCAATTTTAAAAATGTACGTTTGCACGAGAAATGACCAGCCTACATGGCGGGGGTTAGGTCTAATCGCTGCGGAGAAATATAAGCCTTATGGTGTTCAAGCGTCAACTTCGTTTATGGCACACACAGCTTATCCAGAAATGTTATACAGAGATGGCTATACGATCATAACAACTAGCATACCAACAACATTACATATAAAGTAATTACATGAAAATCTTACTTATAGAAGTTTAGTATGTCTAATAACAGGTACACACAGCTTTGGCCAATGTCAAAAATCTGTCAAACTTCATACAAAAAACATCGGTTATCGTTATAGTTACCGTCAAAGCTAGGTGGTGCAACTCAGCCTTAGTTTATACTAATAAATATGAAGTACAGTCAACAGCATATCACACCACACATATTTGTTGCACAATAGCTCACATTGCAAGTTCGTAAGATACCACAGTGTGCGGCCTGATATGTTGTCGTCTGCAGAATCAACACAGCAATTAAAACACCACTGCTTATACACATTTATTTGCGTTGGTTGTGAATACTTAGGGCTAAAAAGACAAAATGAAAATACACTTTAAGGCTGAGTCCGCACTACGGTTTTTCACGCAAGCGGTAAACCGCCAAACCGCGAGATTGCCCGAAACGTATACGCGGGAAAAGCCGCATTGCGGACGCTTGCATTTGTTTTACTTGGTTATAAAATCAGGTGGTTAAAAACCGCGGCGGTTTAGCCGTAGTGCGGACTAGACCGGACCGGACCGGACCGGACGTAGAGCCAGGTGACAGCTGAGCCTACGCACTCACTTGAACTGGCAGAAGACGTCGGCGTAGTCGGTGGCCACGCTGTGCGCTTGCAGCACGGTGACGCGGAAGGTGAACTCACCCGAGCGCCAGGTGACAGCTGAGCCTACGCACTCACTTGAACTGGCAGAAGACGTCGGCGTAGTCGGTGGCCACGCTGTGCGCTTGCAGCACGGTGACGCGGAAGGTGAACTCGCGGCCGAGCGCCAGGTGCTCCGGTAGTTCTTCGTCCTTCAGCTCTGAAGCTAGCGAGCTGTCGCCGCGCCCGCTGTCCGCGTCGCATTCGCCCACGGCCATCTCTGTAAACAGCAAGCTGGTTAATGTTGGCTGAAAAAGGAAACCACGAAATCTTGGCAGCGACAATAAATTAGATCAGTGTTTTTCAACCTTTTTCATGACGCGATGATGCAAAGATGTTGTAGAAACCGAATTTTTCAATCCATACAACATTTATGTATTTGCATAATTATATTTCAGATAAATCTATATTTAGAACTCTATTGTTTTTTACTGAGGTAGTTTTTACGACTTTTCGCGACCCGCCTTTAGAGGCTTCGCGACCCCATGGGGAGTCGCGACCCACAGGTTGAAAAACACTGAATTAGATAACTCTTTAGTTCAGATTCCTATTTAACATCGTAGCGGAATTTATATTACATATCTAAGATGGATTTTCGCTGCTACAGTTTCGCAGCGAAGGTAGCCTAGGACATTGTCCTTGTCCTTGTCATTGTCCTTCATTCTGTCTATATTCCAGTGCCACTCTTTATTATCTATATCTTTTTTAAAGGCATAAAGCTTCGGCCAAACCACGTACAGCTTGCAACAGCGAGTGAGATGACGATGGCGATCACTACGCGTGCAAAGATCGCCGCGACCAATGATTGGACGCGTTGATGTGAACCCGTCGCTACTAATTCATACATGACATCTGATCGCCATCGCGCTGGCTGCCCGCGTTAATTTGGCCAAACCTTTACACTCCTTTGTTCTTGTATGCTTTTCAACACTGGTCTCCAAGTCTAGAGCTCTGGAGCCGGCTCGTGTGACGTCACTCACCTTCAATCTTGATGTTGGAGTCCTGTCCGTCGGCGATACGCTCCTCCAGATTGAGCGCGTTGTGTTTCTCGACGCTGGTTAGCGCCTTGAGCCGGGAACGCGTGGGCGCGACGTCGTCGTCGAACGATATCTTCGCCGACTGCTTCACGCCGGCTACGAATTCAGCATTGTCTACAAATTATACCGGACCAATCAGTAACATACGCTTCAATGAAGCAATTATGGAAGTGTGATCGATCGTTTTTTTATGGAACAAGCAGCAGTGCTTGAACACTGTGCGGTATGGAACGAGTTAAATTACGTGTTGCCCACACTCAAAACTAATTGAAACTGTTAGAATATATGCAAGGTCAGGTGAAAATGAATCTTTACTCATGCCCGCAGAGTCAGATCGCATCAATACGAAACGTATAGAGACCGACAAAGTTGTTTTTCATGATTCGGGCTGCATTCACTTTGAGATCACAGTGTGGCAAATCCTTCAAGGGTCATCCTCATCAAATAGTTTTATGCAATATGACATTGACAACTCAGGGCTGCGTTCACTTTAAAATCACTGTGGGGCAAATCCTTCAAGGGTCATCCTCATCAAATAGTTTTATGCAACATGACATTGACAACTCACTCTTGTCAGCGTCGATGACCGCCTGCACGGCCACGCGGAGGTAGCCCTTGACGTCTCCTTTCTCGTTCACGATGGCCACCTTGTGAATGAGTGGAACCGGGTACAGCAGGTTCGACAGGTACACGAAGCTCCTGTTGTGGGAAATGACATTTATTAACTTCGTTACTTACTGCCAGAGACGAAAACATAGACAAACTTCTTCTAGATGAATGGATGACAAGATTGAAATGGCGGGATCCCTGGAGATCAGGTCGATAAGAGCTAATTGGTTTTCGTAAAAAGATATACGTCCAGCTTTAGAACGTTACTTGTTTATATTGATTTCTCAGGTAAAAAAGTGGCACATTGATATTCCATGATTCAAAGGATAATATTATGTGAAGCTGCTCAGTATGATTGAGTCCTGTCCGACACCAATGTATGGCAGCTCAGGAAAACTGACCCCACTTGCTAATATCCCCAAGCCAAAATAAGATTAGGATACTAATTGATGACGTCAGTCACAGTCGCACTAGGAAGATCCTAAGGCACTCACGAAATCTTGACTCCAAGTTGTTACAACCTTTCTGTTGGAAGATATGAATTGATGACGTCACTCACCGTCCCACCAGGCGGAACCAGGGGAACCGGTCATAGAATGGATCCCCGCCGGTGACGGACTCGATGTTGTGGTCGGGAGACGTCGGCGACAGCTCCGCTTCATTGTGGTACATCTCACGCATCAGCTCCAGGCGTTGTCTGTCGAACAAACAACTTTATTGTGACGGGTCCAAGATTGAATTTGGATTGACAGGATTGTGCAAATTGGATTGGGATAGTTTGGGTATCACGAAATCCCATTATGACAATCTGCAAACAGTTTAATGGAATTTCGTATATAAGGTTATGTAACATAGTGATCATTTTATGTAAATCTAAATAACACATTTGCAGCTAAGCAAACATTGCAGTTTTGATTAAAAAGAGTGACATTATAAAAACATTTTGATACAACATAAATAGCCGGTGATTTGGCGAACAATTACAACAATTTTTTTTTCGACTAGACACAGATATTTCATTCTTTAGTATAAAAAAAGCTTTCAGCCGCAGCAAGCTTCATCATATTGCAGTTTGTGATTTTAAAAAAGACAATGACAAAGCGATAGGTATTGTATCATCGAGATTTTGGACAATCGGATTTATACACAACATCGTTTTATAAAATAAATCAACAACGGGATACAAAAAACATATCGATTCACAATGTGAGTTACTAGGTTGTATTTATACTACAGGACAAGGAATATCATACAAACTATGTAAATTACTAGTATATCTAAGTAGGTATACAATGCTATTGCTTAAATAACGACATCGTAATATTTGTAGTTTGATTATGAGGGTGGTTTGTGCAGGATTCAGGATTAAGAGTTGATTCTGAAATGCATTATTTTTTCATATTAAAAACATAACAACTTTTTCATGCCTAAAAATAAAATGTCAGTAAAATGTCAAGAATACATTACAAAATCACTCCGTCAACACAACATCGACGCATACGCAAAGAAAAATGTGTGGGAACACCAAATCATAATAATTTCACAGGTATTACACATAAGCTTAAAAGCTATACCATCATTCTAAAGTGCTTTATTTAAATAAGTTCATCTTGGCGAAGTGACTTACATACATTTCCATATTTGTAAATCCTTATTTTCTCAATAACAATAGTCAATAGAATAATGGTTTCACAAGCATGGTTATGGTTTCACAAGTATATGGTTCACTATCTCATACGGTGATAAGTGCAGGACTGGATGGTCTATCATACATTTTGGTCTCTAGAGGTTCTCCATCTAAAATAGTACGCTGGTTGTAACATAACAATTCGAAATGTATGAGAGTTCTGATTTTGATTCGAAATGATCCTACATTAATGTGCTCTATTGGTTACCTTTTCATCACCTTGCCTCAATCACGAGTTTGTTGTTTGAACCTATCATTCATGACTTCAAGCGGGTCAAAAACTCTACAGCAGTGTAAGCAAGTCTTACTAATATGAATAAAGACGTGATCAGTCGACTCGTGAGTCGTACACTATTGCTAAATCCTGCCAGCGGCGACCTGATAAGCAGATGCGTTTAAACGATCAAGAATCTTATTCACGCTATAATATCGTTTTGAAAGGTCTATTCTGTTACTGGCAAAGGGCCCTTGAATACTTGAGAAACCTCTTTTATTGATAACTACAATGAGGTCCCGACACTTTTGCATCAAAATACTTCAGTCACGGTCACATTCGAGCGCCATATAAACCTTTATCACGCGTATTGTAAATTGTAAGCTGTGTGAATACACCAGCATCGTAACCTATCATCGATAGAAGTGTAAGCTGTGTGAGCACACGTACTACTGCCGGCATGAGGCGAGGCGAGACGAGGCGAGGCGAGGCGAGCACAAACCTCGAGGGCAGCAGGTTGGCTAGCGACAAGCGCGTCTGCTGCGCGCACGCCGATATGCACTGCAGTATGTCTGGCGCGGCGCCGGGCGCTGTTGCCAGCTGGGCGGCCACGGCGGGCGGCGGTGCCAGCTCGAGCACCGGCTCGTCGTCCTCCTCGCACGCGCTCCCGTTCATGTTGTATATCTGCCGCATGAGCTCCAGGCGGTGGCTACGGATAACAGAGGGTTGCAGCGCACCGCCCGAACGCTCCGCGGTGGACGAGAGTATGGGATGACATGCGAGAGTTGTGCGTTGGACCTTTTACTTCTTTTTACTCAATATTTTTTTAAACGTTTGAAAATCATTTGGCACGTTAGAGATTTCATTTGCGCTTGTGCTTTCGAAGTACGTTTATCAGGTTAACACAGTTATCTAAAGTTAATCAATTAGATTTAAAATAAAATTAACTTTTTTTTTCTCTTCTCAATAATAATAAGGTCCATTATTGACTACAAATACGAGGTATTTCGGTAGCATGTCCTCTCATTTGGTCCACGTTCCCAGCAAATGACTAGACTCGATCGTTATTGTTTTCATGAGAGCTAATGTAACGTCGTGTATGTACACCACATCTAACACAACGACGAAACACACTACTATTCATACTATACATTCACGTTCTCATCATTTGCTTCACTAATAAATATGAAAAATCTATTATACATAATAATTATGTAAAAGGTAGCACGTAAACATATGGGGAACTAAAATGAAAAAGCGGCAACTAAAACAAGCTATAAGATTGAAACATCGCAATCTATACAGTAATAAATATCATAGGAATATTACTTACCCTTGAATAAATATGTAGATATTGTTAACTAACTACAGAGCATAATATAATAATACATAATCATATTTTTCCGTACAATTGTACAAAGGAACGGGTTCGTCCAACACGGCACCAGCAAAATAGGTCGGTTACGTTTCTCATACGAGAAGAAAAACGAAATAATAACACAACAAAACGCAACGGAAAAGAAACAAACATAAATAGGAGTACAGTCAGTGAAAATACATAAAATAGTACACTATTTTTGGCCATTACTGTTGAAAATAGGCCTATTAGTTCTTATGTACTGAAGTCGAGACTGTACCTAAAGAAAATACGTAAAATAAAAGTACATATAACATAAATTCACACGAAATAGTTTATAAATAAATAAAGATATGACTGCAACGAGGGTTATTTGAAGACAGGATCACGCTTGAATAAAAATTAAAATACTTATGTACAACTAGAAATTATAAATAAAATGTAATACCACAGACAATTTTTTTTTTATTTGTACTATCTAGGTTTCAAGTTTATGTCTGTGTCAAATTATTTCTGACTCATTACTTATCGGATGCTGAATTATTGAATATACCCCAATCGACTGGTTTCTGGAACGTATTATTTTCTCATCCTAGTAGAATGACACAAAAAAATTGTTGATCCATCTATTCGTTAATTTACTATTTAAAACCTCAAAAAACTCGTAATTTAAATTGCATGGGATTAAGCAGTTACATATTCCCTAACCTAATTAATGACCTACATAATCTTCAATGACCTCAAACGTCAAAAGTGTTATAACTCTTTGTTCGAGATAAACAAATATGAACTTACCGCAGCTTCTCCAAGGTCCAATAATGCGTAGCGCCGTTCTTGGTGTCAGTAACTTCGACGGCGACGACAGTCGGCGCGCTGGGTCTATACTCGTCATCGGCATCGTCCCGCGGGGCCAGCTCAGCAGGGAGCGGCGAGTACGCGGTATCGGTCAACAGAGTGAACTGGAATTGCACCTTCTTGCGGAGTTCGACTGATATTGCGTTGGCTTCCTGTGGGTGGTATGGTGTGTTAGTGGGGTGGAGTAGATAGTTTCGAAGGGTAGGAATTTATGATGGCTTAAAAACATGCAGTTGTATGTCTCACCAGTTGTTAGTCACTTCAAAAGCAACGGGATAAAAATGCAGGTCAGTAAAGAATTTTCCTTGAGGGTCACCGCCTAAAAAGGTTTCAGGATCGGAAACCTTCAAAATGCACCCTGCTCTGGAGATAATCATGAAGCAAATTCTTTCCTGTCACTATCTATCTACGTCATCTATACGTCAATAAGGTCACTGACCTTCAAGAATACAACATTGCCCCAGAGGCCGTCCCGCAGCAAGCTAAACTGGCGCTTTATCCGCCCATATCACTGTTCTTTACTGTCACTATCTACGTAATCTATACGTCACTAAGGTCACTGACCTTCAAGAATATAGCGTTGCCCCACAGGTCGTCCCGCAGCGAGGTGAACTGGTGGTACTTCCACTTGCGGAACGCCCACGCGGATCGTCCACCCATATCACTGTTCTTTTTTCCTCTCACTATGTACGTCATCTATACGTCAACGTCACTGACCTTCAAGAATATAGCGTTGCCCCAGAGGTCGTCCCGCAGCGAGGTGAACTGGTGGTACTTCCACTTGCGGAACGCCCACGCGGCCAGCCCCACCTCGCGCGCCGACCAACACTCTGTCTCAAACAGGGGATTCACTAAAACGGGAGCGTATAGTCACTATTGGGCACGGTTAAAATGTTATAACATAAGGTAACACATAAAGGTCACCGCACACGGGCTTCACGCCACAATCAGAAACAAAGTTGACGCCGGTGGCCGTAACACTAAAATGTGAACTGTGAATGTGACTGTGGCGCGAGTGAAGTCCGTATGCGGCAACCTTAAAAGCAAATTGGTGTGGGGTCATGCTGGGATAAAATCAAATAATAATAATGAATAAGAAAGAACTATAAATTAAGAGATAATAATAATAAAATAGTTTTTCTTTTCTCATCACAAACATTACAATGACACAAGTTATTAAGCACATTACAATTCTTAAAACAAAGTTGTTTGTGTGAAACTGATGCCTGTGATAGTAATCAAAGATATTATTATACGTCTAGCGCTTACGTAAACAGTGCCCGTGGGAGCGACATGGAAGAGGTGACATATGACGTGACAGAGTATACAAGTCTGAAGCACATCTGAAGACTCGCTGACCTCAGACGTCCCATGCCACTCTCATACCTCAGGCACGGATTCATTAAGGCCCAGTTTTTTGATTCATAGTTAAAATAACTAATTGTTAAATTTTGCTACTAATGGTTAAATATTAACAAAATGTAAACTGATAGTTAAAAAATGTACTAAAAGTCAAGTTAACCATTGTTCGAAAAACATTTTTCTCTGATATTGAACCACTTGTCATTTGACATCTGTCAAATTTAACTATTGGTTATTTTAACTACGAATCAAAAAACTGGGCCTAAGGCGCTAGACCTATACATAGTTAGATATTCAATGAGGGTTTTCGCGAATGAAAGATCCGCTAGATGGCGAGACGTGGATGTGGGGTCTGACTGCTACGTGATTGGTGGATTTTGACATATCTGTCAATGTCATGTCAAAAATAACCAATCATGCAGCATTTGGACCTCGCGTCTACGTATTGCCATCTGGCGGATTTTTCATACGCGAAAACCCTCATTGATATCAATCGACAGGTCCTTCTTCAAAATCTGATGCTGTATTGTAATGTTTAATTTTAACAATTTGTTAAATTGACAAAAAACACATTTGGTGGCTAAGTTTCTTAATAGTCACATTTAGATAGTAATACTTCCTTACCAAATATGTCCTCATCGTTGTGGAAGTCCTCTGGCGTGTAGGAGGAGTACATAGACATGGTAACGCTCTGCTCCTCAACTTGGCGCTGTAAGGCGTCGATGCGGGCCTCGTAGTTCTGCAAATAAAGAACTTTGTTGAGACAGATCGAAATTTTTACTGTTACTTAAAAAAAAAGAGCTATAGTCATTCCCTTTTAAAGGGGAAGATCTTTGGAGTAGTTTTTGAGGGGCTGTTCCGCAAAGGAGTGTTTCAATTCGTCTGAACGACGCTGTCGCTTATGCCTGCTTGAGTAGATGTTACACCCAGCAACCTTTACATAATATGCAAGGCGCCTTTTCTTTTGTGCTTAGGTCACATCCACGTCCAAAGGTCTTTGCTGGGTTTAGCAATATTTTCTTGGCGCAGATAGTGGGTACGTCATCATTATTATCAAGATATCCAGAAGTACGTGTTTGAAGCAGTTAATATGGAAATACTCCTAGAACTGCTGCGTAACTGCTCCTACAGGGTGACCAGGTGTTTTTGCATTTCAGATTGGAGGTCTAAATTCACACTGGAGTAAACCCAGTCACTGGTCAAGTGGTTACGTTCTCTATGCCTTTGCCAGCTGAAATATAGACACTCAGTATTCTTACCTTCCTTTGTTCCTCGAACTGCTGATCAGCATGTTCCTTCTCGCGGCGGAACTGCTCTTCCAAAGCAACCAGGCGCTTCTGCATCTCAGCACGAAGGTCAATGCCCTGCTTCTCAAGCAGCTCGCATTGGGCGAAGTCCCAGTCGATGGTGCCGTTTTCTGTGTCGCTGCCAGCTGCAATAGTTTATTATTTTGGTTCATCATGAAAGTACCTATAACAGTCTACATTAGGAACAGCTTATTTGTGATCAGAATGAAGATCGATACGAACTATCGAAGTCAAAAACCACCATGAAAAAAAACTCGTGACTCGTTCTGTATTTGGTAAATAGCATTTTGTATGGTCAAAAGACGAGATCTCTTTCGATTGTGATTAAAGCTTTTAACAGCTGAAATGAACATTTAATTGCGAGTAGATAATTTTAAAGGATATAAGAGTCATAATTCGTAAACACAACACTTTCAGTGATACGACATCAGTCTTTCAAAAACAGTGCCTTGAATAGCACTCAGTGGGAGGCGTGCCTAAATAGGTTACAAAATAATTAGATGATGTCTTAGCTCTAAAGCTGATAACATAGAAAAATACACTTTACTACCTACGTCATAAGGATCTTACCGTCAGAAGCGGGCTCAGCGACAGCATTATCAGCAGGCTGTTCCTTGTTGTTGTTCTCCTTGCTGACGCGCTCCTCGCGCGGCTGGCCGGGGTGCGTGAAACGGAACACGTGGTTCTTGCCCAGGATCACGCGGGAGCCCGTCTTCAGGATTATCGGCTCTGTCACCTACGTGATAAGATACATTTTTGAATATCTCGTTCACATTAAAACCACAAACAATTCGAAGTACAATTTGTAATTCAACCTGTGTGTTGGTACTTGGTACTTGTTGATTGTTACCAATCAAAACGCTAACTAAAATGTACTTTCAGAAAATGAGGTAAAATATATTTTTCAATTGATTAATTATACTAATCGAATAATAAACACGCTGAAAACAATCACAAACGATGAAAAGTATAAATAAACATACATTTACATTTATGTATCAGGAAATAATAATCCATTTTAACAGTTGTTTATTGAACTAATTTACTGAAATTAATTTTGTAATTCACATTTCACAATAAATAGCATCGTCAAGTCGTCAATGATATTATTGTTACCTACTTTGTTGTTACATTTAACTTGTGGTGTATATTTACTAGTTTCGGCATACAAATTAAAGCTAAGAATATCAGAGGTTTTAGTCTGACACTCTTTCCTATCTTTTTGGGACTTCTGTTTTTGAGACAATCATACTTATTTTGGCTCGCAATTAACTGAATGAACGTTTGATAGCTATGTCATCCTATAGTGAGCAATATTTTTCATGACAGCATATCTAGTAGTAAGTACAGTCAACATCCCATCAAGCTAAATATCGCGGGATCTAACCCTTCCAGGCTCTGGTATCCACAGAGACCACATCAATTTGAACCGTATGCTGTGAAGATATTATTGAAAACCAATTACTTTTTTTTTGACCTGGTTAAGGGTTAGGCCGGCAATACACGGACAGCTCGAGCAGTTAGTCAGTGATCAACATACACGGACCGCTCTTTCAGTCAAGAGTCAACAGCTTAAAGCTGCCAGTGATAACTGCTTGAAGAGTTGGTATTAACTGCTCAACAAATCACAAGCGCGCGCGCCGTGGAATGAAGAAAGTGGGCGGAGGTAACTGCGCGACTGCTTGACCGCACGATGAAAATTCACCGTGCCCGAATCAGTTGCAACTGCTCGAGCGGTTCGTGTATGTGCGTCCATAGAACTCTGCAGTTCACTGTTCAGTCGCAGCTTGAAGCTGTCGACCCTGACTGCTTCAAGCGGTCCGTGTATTGCCGGCCTTAAGCGCGATTCTGCAACAAAAAGGTACATTCTGTACCAACCTCGCGTCCGTTGATGTAGACGAGCGCGCCGTGGTGCGGTATGAGGCAGATGACGCCGTCGGTGTTCTCGAAGATGCAATGCTCGCTGAGGATGTGGGAGCCGTTCAGCTGGATGTCTTGGGGGACGTTCGCCTCGGCTGTACCTAGGCGGGTCACGCCTGGGGGACAGAATGTTTGGTTATGGGGTTTGTACGAAGCGAAAATAAATCTGAATTATTTGAGATACTTTGGCTTTAAACATTTTCAAGTCTTTCATTCTAACATTTTCAACAGCGTAGGACGTCCACCTGCAAGGTGGACCGACGAGCTCATAAAGGTAGGAGGAAGGCGCTGGACACAGGCCGTTACCAATCGGGTGATATGGAAATCATTGGGGGAGGCCTATGTTCAGCAGTGGAAGTCCTGCTGAAACGATGATAATGATGAAGTCTCTTTCAAATACACAAGATGCGGCATCTTCACAGTTTGAAAAACAGAACCTACAGGTAACGTCAACCGAAAATACAAACTCTACGGCTGGAAGAACAGCGTTTTAACAGCTCATAGGAAGTTGGCATAATCTCAATTACCTAGTTGACGGTGTCCGATTCCCTTCTGTGATAATAACTTACCGTCCTTGATGTAGTAGATGAGGCACTCAGAGAGATTAGGGTCTTCATTGAGGTTGACGAGATGCGGCGTCTTCTTGGGCGAGTATACGCCCACCGTGATGCCTTCTTTCACGGCGACGCCCATTTCTGCAAACACGGCCTCGCGTTGCAGACGGATCTCTTCCGTACGTTTAAGCTTCTCCTCCCATGTCTCGTTTAGTTCTGGAACAAAATCGTTTGATGAAATGTTGTAGACCATAAGGTAAGGAAGATGGCACATTAAGGAAAAGACTGAGGCATCTTTAAGTAGTTGCAACCATATTAATTGCTATTTTAAAACAAGTGACAATAACCTGTATTGCGTTACTCAATTGAGAATCTGACCATTAGTTTCTTTTGGTCCTTCGAGCCGGATTCAATCATAGCAAAAAGAAGTATAATTTGTCATTAGAAGTGTGATCACACTCATCATGCTGTTGTCCAAAGTTAAAAATCATCTTTTATTGGTCAATTTAAATGAAATATTCTGAGAATCATCAGCATCCCTCTTACGCAATGAAACCAGTGTTTAATCCTTCCAATATGTTTCATATTATTATACTATCTAGAAACTACAAGTAATATTAACATACCAGCAATAAGTTTTTCAGACGCCTGCAGCTGATCGACAGCCTCCTCGGCGATGGTGGTGCCGGCTCGAGACAGCTTCGGAGACAGCACTTCGGCTTCGCTCTTCTTGCGGATGGGAGAGGCGTTCTCTTCGCCTGCTGTTGGGGATCGCTTGTTAGTTTTATGTATAGGCAGTGGGAGGTGTTATGTGGTACAATCAGCGTCGAATAGTTCGTGACACCCAAAGTAGACAATAAGTTCGCAACACGTCTTTGTTACAATTGAAATAAGGTTCAGTGTTGTCAACTTATTAGGCATTTTGGGTGTCACGAAGTATTAGAAGCTCACTATAGGAGCTGGTACTGGCTATCATTCGTTGATAACAATAGTTGAGGTCATACTATACAATATACTAAATAAAACTATTGTACCAATTATAAAGACTAGGAATCTAAATGGTTCTATGCACATTTAGAATCCTAGATTGAAAATGCGTTCATATTATACCAGCCCCTACAAAATCGAGTTATTCCATTTCCATATTTGGCAACACCATTACCAGTTATGGTGGTCTTAGTTCAGTGAGAGTAAGCCATTGGGATTACCCATTGCAGGCTTAGAAGTGCCTTTGTGAAGGAACACACATTATGGTGTGCATGTGTGTGTAGTTTCTAATCTTCAAGTCACCTTTTGTTTTGTGGGTACATCTTCATCTAATATAACCATTAATCAGAAGTTGAATAATGGTTTTAAAAGATCCAAGTGTACATCCAATTAATTTTAAACATCATTACGAATAACAAAATACATTTAGAGGTTTAAAAATCGACACAAATATAAGGGAAACATGCAAAGGCTGATGAAGCTATAAAGCTTTGTTTTTATTGCATAAAATAATATAACAGCCGTTCGCGACCTTGCTGTAAGTGAATATTAGATTTTTTTGTTCTGTTTTGCAGTAACTGCGGTCTCATATTGAGAAATAATTTCGTTTCATGGCCAATACTTTCAAATTATTATGATTATGGCCGCGAACGGTCTCGTTTATACATAGTATAGTGTTTCTGAGCATCTCAAGTACAAGATAGATATTGTGATACAAATACTAAACATTCAGAGCATAAATACATTATTTATTCATACATATCGCTCCGAAAAGTGATACGCTCTGGAAAATTCTATTAAATATTTCACTCCATTCCTTTTTCATTTTATTATAACGAGCTTGCTTACATTTAAGTTACACTGTTGCGTGACTTCAGTGAACGGAGAAGGTCGATTACTTTATACGGAAGAAAATATAAACAAACATGAGTCAAGAAAAAGGAATGGATTTTAGAATATTTTATTTTCCGACACCACATAATAATATCCCATATCCCTGGTCAAGCTAAATACATTAATTACATACAACAATAAATACGTAAGTAAAATACATATTCCTAACTCTATCGATCTAAATATAGTGTACCAAAACCAACACCAATAACAAGCGCATATACAAATACGTATGATATGTATAATAATTCACTCCGCTTTAATATTTTTTGCGCATAATCGTGGAGTGAATACGAGTAAAACTATGCCTACGAACGCCACAAGCCGGACAAGGGTGCAAAATAAATTGCTTTTTTTTCATGTGTGGGTTGCCAGATTAATGACCGATTTCGTACCAAATTGCACTTGAATTTTTGTGTCTGGCAACCTCAAACCAAGATGGAGGCTAAGCGTACAGTACAGGTGGGGTGTACAAATGCAGAATGCGCAAGCCTCTTCGTTTTTACTTACTGGTAGGCGGTTCTTTCTTTTCGTAAACGACTCTACCATCTGGTCCTAGTTCGTGTGGGTTTTGGAAACAAAAGTTCAGCTTTAGTATCAGGAATTGACAACGTTGTGGCGTTTCAACTAGCTCTGTTCTCACAATGCACACACTCACACAAGACGCTCTATCTCACATGACGACTAACAGCCTAAACATTTGGAGCACGTGGTTGTGTGCCGAGGTCGATAGATGGTCATTAAAGTTTAATACATTCCAAATTACCTAATTGAACGTTGTTCAATAGTTTGTTAAGCAACATAATCCTGTATAACATTAATTTGCCTGCATAATGCTAACGCTTAATTATTGCAGCACTAGGTCACGTAAACTGTTAATATTTCAAATAATGTGTTCTGGATATTGCATTTGAAGTTTGGACCTTAAAATATCTACAACGCCATTGAAAAACAACCTAAGAATGCAGATTGAAAATGAACCTAATTGCTGAAGTCATAAAATCCATCATCTATCGACCGTCGTCACCAGTGCCAAGCCCAAGTGGCTAGAGTCGCGTGCACACGTACCTTCTTCCACCTCGATGCCCTCAGCCTTGAGCAGTTCTCGGAGCTTGAAGATCTCTTCCTTGAGCTCGCGAATGAGTTTTGCATTTGCGTCTTCATTGACAACCGCCTTACAAACGATCTGCTTGGCGCGATCCGCGTATCTGTGGACAATCCACTTGTCAGTAATAAAACTAAAAAAACTCATTTAAATTCATTTATTTCTGTAAATAGGCTTAAAAAAAGCACTTTTACACGTCCCAGTATTAACCCTACCACTGCTTCAGGACAATAAATGGGCCAGTGCTGAGAAGAAGCAGCGCAAGAAACTCAGTCACTATAATACACCGCTTAAACTAGAATACACAACTAGTTTTAAATAATTTTGCAATGTAGCAACAATAATTAATAATGTTGAACAGTAAACTAACGTGTAATCGTCTAATTATTAAGTTTATTTATAGTCCACGTATTTAAAGTATCAATTTAGACCGACTGAAATAAATGACATTTTTTATTTGTGACTTATTTTATTACCAAGTTTATGTCACGAATAGCAATAGTTATGTAACATATTTCTATTAGTGTTCTATTTTCTGTTTTAATAAAGCTTTAATTGCTAGTTTATTTCGTCTACTTCTACCATAGTCACATGTCTTAAGGTCGAAAATCAATTGACAAAGTTTCAACAATACGTACCTCAGCGTGCTGAGTGTCTCATCAAAGTTGATGTCAGCAGGCGAGATGGCAGCTATCATGGCCGTCTTGGAGTTACCGCCGAGGTTCTCTCGCAGTAGCCACGTCAGCACCGAGTCTCGGTACGGAATGAAGTCCGCCTTCTTTGACTTCTTACTCTTTGACGCCTAGAATTTTAGTTGTGGCTATAGTAACCGTTATAGGATTAAAGGTTACATGTGGTACACTGTGGTTCTGCTTCGCTAAGCTCCTTAGCTTTACTTAGGCTCGAAGATAGGGTTCTTCATAGCAGTTTTGTTTTGCTAAGCTTGGAAAAATACAGTGTGAGTCACGTTAAAGTGTACATATGAAAATAGATGAAACTAGACCTGTTTTTATCGACAAAAAAGAGGTCAAAAAATTTTTGAGATTTTTTTTAAATTTTTTATAGAATTTTTTTTCTTCCAATTACTTATTGTAAAGAAAACGTAATAACTTTTAAACTAAGCAGTAGATCCTGATAAAATAAAAACAGTAATAATGCTAAATAACAGGCAATACTAAAAAAATACATAAAATACACAAAAAAGGACAACAAATAATAAAAAATGATACTTTTTGAAAAAAATCTGCTTTAAAATTCGTGTTTTTTTGGTTATTTGATAAATTTCTCCAAAAAATGCCCCTATAACCGGTGGTTTTTATTATTTTTTATTGTTCTCAACCGTATTATCTTTGTAAAACCAAAAATCGCATGTCTCTATCCCTATCACAACATTTGCTATGCTTTTCGAGCACTTTAGTACTAGATGATGTCCAGGGTCCTGATGATGGAGTCAGGAGGTGGCCATAGGAATTCCAAAACGAAACGGTGGAAACTTATCGAGTTTGGTTTTGCTGGATTTGTCTTTTCGAGCACTTTGGTGCTAAATTGCATTGTAAAATAAAATTATAATAATTAAAAATCTTTTTATTAAAAACCGGTCAAGTGCGTGTCGGACTCACGCACAAAGGGTTCCGTACCATTGATTTATGAAATTAAAATTATCATTTTTTTATTTAAGTTATTTGTATGAAAGATTACGCGGTAATAAGCGGTTTACGATTTACGAGGTATTAAAAAAAAACTACTTACTAGATCTCGTTCAAAACAAAGTTTTTATAGTAATGTACCTACATCATGTTTTTTTTTAGATTTTTCATTTTCTTCACGCAAACTATTCTGTTTAGAAAAAAAATATTTTAGAAACCTCGATATCATTTTTGAAGACCTATCCATAGATACCCCACACGTATTGTTTGATGAAAAAAATTATTTTGAGTTTCAGTTCTAAGTATGGGAAGCCCCCAATATTTTATTTTTTATTTTTTATTTTTGCATCAAAATATTAATGCGGTTCACAGAATACATCTACCTACCGAGTTTCAACAGTATAACTCTTATAGTTTCCGAAAAAAATGGCTGTGACTGTGACTTACGGACGGACAGACATGACGAATCTATAAGGGTTCCGTTTATGCGATTTGGCTACGGAACCCTAACAAGCTTTTATTCTGAAATGCAGTTATACTAAAACGAAAAAAATAATTGTATATACTTATGCAAGGTTCAAATAATTTCGAAAGCTTGTAGCGCAAACATAAAAGAGGAATAAATTCCATGAGCGATACAAGCTTTCGAAATTATTTGAACATATTATTTTTTTCGTTTTATTATCATGTGTTAACGGATTAACGATTAACGTTAACTTGCGTTAACTCTTGCGAAATGTAACGTTTTAACGTTTAACGAAGTTAATTTTTTTATTAACGGTTTAACGATTAACGAAGTTAACTATTTGATTAACGGTGCCCAGCTATGCAGATAAGGTCTTTGTAATCCTATACAAAGCTGGAAGGGCACTTTCGAAGTTGGTGAAGTTACATCTTCATAAGCAGTTTTGCTTTGGCAAGCTTAGAGAACAGATATCCTAGCTACAAATAAGGTATTTGTAGTGTTATGCTAAGCTGAGTTAGGGCTCTAGAAATAGTGCCTGCAACGGATCTTCGCTTGAGTATTCTGCACTATACCTATATTTCAGAAATAACACACAGAAGTAGGCAAAAAAGTTTGATCTTAAAACAGTGGTCTACACATTATGAAGCTGCCCGTAGTTATGAAATTATAAAATAAAATAAAAAATCATCAACAGTTGCAAAAGTAAAAATGCTTAAATATTTATGGCACACGAAAGCGTTCCCAATAGACGTATCATTAGGGTGGTTATCGTCTGAAAGGATAGCCTTTGGCATAGTAGAGATGTTCGGTGAAAGCCTCAGCACGTCTCAAGCGATATTGCACTCTCTGCCAAGCTGGATGTGCTTGTAACGTCTTAATGAGTCGGAACGATGCCACTTACAGTACTTACCGACTGTTCCCGAATCCCGAAATTAAGTGATGCAGTGAAAATAGTTAATACATGAGTTAGCTACGTGAAAATTAGCATAATACATAAAAACAATTCAAAGTTATTTAAGTTAATGTTATGTCAATGCATTTTTTCAGTTAGCGGAATATTTATACATGAATCAATGTTGTGCAATGGATAACCAAGAACATTATTAGTGCTGTACAAATTCAAGTAGGTAATTCAATTACTTTCTTAACTGCATATGAAAATTACGAAAATAACGAGTATTTTTAAATAAACCTGTCTAGGGACTGCAGGTTTTGTGGAGTGCTATACAATTTACAGTAAACTGAATATTAGTGCTTATTTAGCTGCGGTATACTGACTATACGTTATCAGAAGGAAAATTGAAGTTTTTTTTTATGCAAGACAAGTCATAATAAGTGTTACCAATAATATATCTTCTCAGCTACTTTATATTCCCTTTATCATTTTAGTGTTGATTAATATTTAACTTGCAGTCCCTATTAAATAATTAAAGTCCCACCACCAAAACTCATTAAAACATAGACTTACGATTTCAGCCAGCGCCGAGATGACTTTTCCGAGGGTAGTGAGAGATTTGTTGATGTTAGCGCCTTCTTTCAGCCTGGTGCCTTTAGCGCCAGTCGAGTCAGCACGCTCGGACCCGGCCAGATCTACTAGAGAGATCTTTGACACCTGATGACATTCAATGATTGATGACATTCGTAATAAATCATGTAATATAATAATTGGATATTGAAACTACTTCCTAAACTGTAAACCTAAATTTTAGTTGCTTCGACAAAAGACAAAGCTAGTAAATCTTGATAGAATAATGATGTCAACGACTCCCATACAAAATCTTTGGGAGTATCGCGTTTCGATAGCTCATAAAAAGTACGTCAATTGATTAGTGGTGTCAATCACCCTAATATGGTAAATTGTAGCTAAATAAAGATTTGTGATCCGTTGTAGATATTGTAAATATTTTTTGATGATGAAGTCATCTGTTGTCGTATTTAATTTCGCGTAGAGCATGGTCGACTGGCATTTATAAGTTGGATTAATGATGGTAAAGGTTTACCTTCTCTGACATGAGGTCCGTGGTTTTGTCGTGCCGCTGCTGCGTGAAGAAGATCGTGAATACCGCGTGCGAGCGAGACGAGGTCTCGTTCATGTTGGTCGCGGCCACTGTCCTGTTGGGGGAGCATATAAACTTGATTATACGAATAAAAAACAAAAGAAAAACGTAAATAATTGCTAAATATGAAGGCCATCTCCTCATGTAAGCCTTGACTTTGGGCCACTCATTAAACGTTTGAAACTAGAAAGTAGTATTGACACTAACGTTGGAACATCTTCATATTGGCTTTGACGAATGACGATAGAATAAAGCTTTGACGACAGAATAAAGCGAACGTGAGGACGTCTCACGAAACTTGCCATTGTACGAGAGTTGGCGGCAACGTTTGACGCCGGTGTCAGTCACGGGTTTGGTCCAACATCATGGATACAGGGCAGCAGCACTCAACAAAGCTCATTCTTACTAGTTATTCTTATTCTTCTTACCTAGCCTTGTTCCCCTCGTCGATGAGGTCGTATATGTCCTGGTAGGAGGTGACAGCTAACTTGCTGAGGTCCTCCACATAAGGGCCAGGACCAGCGGTGCTCACGCACGCGCCGTTATAATAGGCCCAGGATATAGGGTGCTAACACCCAACAGAGCCGAGTCTTACCTAGCCTTGTTCCCCTCGTCGATGAGGTCATAAATGTCCTGGTAGGAGGTGACGGCGAGCTTGCTGAGGTCCTCCACATAAGGGCCAGGACCAGGTGCTCTCGCACGCGCCGTTATAATAGGCCCAGGATATAGGGTGCTAGCACCCAACACAGCCGAGTCTTACCTAGTTTTGTTCCCCTCGTCGATGAGGTTGGATATGTCCTGGTAGGAGGTGACAGCTAGCTTGCTGAGGTCCTCCACATAAGGGCCAGGACCAGCGGTGCTCACGCACGCGCCGTTATAATAGGCCCAGGATATAGGGTGCTAACACCCAACAGAGCCGAGTCTTACCTAGCCTTGTTCCCCTCGTCGATGAGGTCATAAATGTCCTGGTAGGAGGTGACGGCGAGCTTGCTGAGGTCCTCCACATAAGGGCCAGGACCAGGTGCTCTCGCACGCGCCGTTATAATAGGCCCAGGATATAGGGTGCTAGCACCCAACACAGCCGAGTCTTACCTAGTTTTGTTCCCCTCGTCGATGAGGTTGGATATGTCCTGGTAGGAGGTGACAGCTAGCTTGCTGAGGTCCTCCACATAAGGGCCAGGACCAGCGGTGCTCACGCACGCGCCGTTATAATAGGCCCAGGATATAGGGTGCTAACACCCAACAGAGCCGAGTCTTACCTAGCCTTGTTCCCCTCGTCGATGAGGTCATATATGTCCTGGTAGGAGGTGACGGCGAGCTTGCTGAGGTCCTCCACATAAGGGCCAGGACCAGCGGTGCTCACGCACGCGCCGTTATAATAGGCCCAGGATATAGGGTGCTAGCACCCAACAGAGCCGAGTCTTACCTAGCCTTGTTCCCCTCGTCGATGAGGTCATATATGTCCTGGTAGGAGGTGACGGCGAGCTTGCTGAGGTCCTCCACATAAGGGCCAGGACCAGCGGTGCTCACGCACGCGCCGTTATAATAGGCCCAGGATATAGGGTGCTAGCACCCAACAGAGCCGAGTCTTACCTAGCCTTGTTCCCCTCGTCGATGAGGTCATATATGTCCTGGTAGGAGGTGACGGCGAGCTTGCTGAGGTCCTCCACATAAGGGCCAGGACCAGCGGTGCTCACGCACGCGCCGTTATAATAGGCCCAGGATATAGGGTGCTAGCACCCAACAGAGCCGAGTCTTACCTAGCCTTGTTCCCCTCGTCGATGAGGTCATATATGTCCTGGTAGGAGGTGACGGCGAGCTTGCTGAGGTCCTCCACATAAGGGCCAGGACCAGCGGTGCTCACGCACGCGCCGTTATAATAGGCCCAGGATATAGGGTGCTAGCACCCAACAGAGCCGAGTCTTACCTAGCCTTGTTCCCCTCGTCGATGAGGTCATATATGTCCTGGTAGGAGGTGACGGCGAGCTTGCTGAGGTCCTCCACATAAGGGCCAGGACCAGCGGTGCTCACGCACGCGCCGTTATAATAGGCCCAGGATATAGGGTGCTAGCACCCAACAGAGCCGAGTCTTACCTAGCCTTGTTCCCCTCGTCGATGAGGTCATATATGTCCTGGTAGGAGGTGACGGCGAGCTTGCTGAGGTCCTCCACATAAGGGCCCAGGGCCGGGTGCTCTCGCACGCGCAGGTTGCCCTTGTTTTTGGGGTTAAGCAAGTCGCGGACACGCTCGCAGTAGATCTCCATGTAGGATACTTCTACCTGTGTGACGGGGAAGGGATATTGTGTGATTTAAGTCGCTAGGCCAGAGAGGTTTTTGAGATATTTATCGTCTACAATTGCAGAAAATACTGTTTTCTAATAAACAACACGATGCGAACACTAGTGTTTGAAATATTTATTGCAAGTGAACAATATCGCTATATCTGAGCACCTTCTAAAGTATAAAATGTATTACAACATGCCAAACTTTTGACACAGTGGTGAATATCTAAACCATCTCGGAACTCGGGTTGTATCGATTTAGTTATCACGAATTCAATGGCACACTTTTGGAAGTCCCATAAATTGTAAGTCAATTCAAATTACTGGAAGTATTTAAAAGTACAATAAATTGTGTGTGATATCTGTGGCGGGCACACGAGCGGAGCGGCGCCGCGCGATACGGCGAAATCTTTGCGGTGCGGCGCAACGCATCGTGTGCTTTGGCTATTATGATTAAACCACACCAAAGAGTGCAGATTGCCATTGCCGGCGCGATCTTAGGCCAATGACAGGTCGCACGGACTGTCATGGGTCGTGCGACCTGTCACTGGCCTTTGATCGCGCCAGTGATGGCGATCTGCACGCTTTGGTGTGTTTGAAGCTTAAGACGAATCGATTTATGACAAATTTCAGTTCATAGTAGAATCCTTACTGAATATTTAAGATCCTCGCTGGTGGTCTGCCTGATGCGCCTGAAGAGGTCTTTGCAGATCTGCGGGATGATGCCTTCCTGGCCGTCTTCGCCGCGCCCCATCATCGTGTACGACTTGCCTGCTCCCGTCTGCCCGTAAGCGAATATGCATATATTGTAGCCTGAGGACAAACAGTTTATTCAGTCCAGGATCTGTCAATAGGCCGTATATGCCGCGGCCTAGGGGCGGCAGATTTCAGATGACGCTTACTCGATTTCAGAAGATAAAAGTTAAATAAAGATCCAACCCCACCCTAGCCTACGGGCGGCAAAACTGTAAATCCGCCACTGAGTTTATTATTAGGTACATAGGTACCTACTTAGCTTAAAATAAATACTCGTACTTACATTACCTAAATTCTTACTAGATCAGCTCAATCAAGCGCTTGAGCACATTAGTAAAAATGTCTTTTATCATGTGGCTTGAGTTAGAGAAGAAGATTGCTTATTCAATCTGTTTAATAATTGTTGATCATGCCATAGCAAAGTGGAGACAAAGGGAATGCAGGGTTTATCAGATTTGAGATCATCTGCTGAAGACTATTGTTAAATACATAAAAACTATGGTTTGATTGATAGTTAGCAATAGTCAGTCTATTTTACTTTACTGTACTTTTCCATCGCTATCAGAAGAATTTATATATTTTTAGGAATAACACGAAACAGACCAATTATTTAACATATCTGCCACCCCTACGCTCGAAGCAAACAATTTTTTACTTTCAGGAAGCGGTAATTATGTAACATACAGTCCATTTCAACCTGCCTATATTTATAACTATTACGCTATGAATGTACGAGTATATCTTCTTCAAATCTGTGCGGTAGATTATTTTGGCTCTAGTTTGCATAATGAGAGAGAGTGGTCAGCCACGAGTTTATGTGGCGTGAAGACGATGGTGGAGTGAGAGCCGCTTACCACGGAATAGGAAGTATTGTTTCGTCCACAACGCTAATGAGACTTCACATTGATGAACAAAGTAGCTCAGTAATTGCCAAGGGTTGATGACCAATAATTTGTTTTGTTTTTGTTATGATACACGCTCAGACGTTACCAGTTATAATAATAAGCTTAGACCTCAGTAATAAGAAAAAATATTTATCTCCATAACCTAGAATATTATAAAGTACAAGAACAACCTGGAAATCATTTACTCACCATCGAAAGCGTGTTGTAACATTTCTTCGCCAATGTCTTTGTACACCATAATTTGGGAAGAGAATTCCGGATCATTTGGCTGCAACAAGAGAGAGGAAATGAGAAATAGTAAATTACCAAATAAAATATTCACTTTATCTACGTTCCCAAATAAAGGTCTTTTACTAAGTAAACAAATAAATTCTGATACAGACGCTTACAGGCTTAATCCGATTACACAATTTAAACGCTGCGCGCATTTCCGAGAGGGAAACAGAAATAAAAATGTAAATACAATAAATGAATACATTAAAATACGTTTTGATCATAAAACAAACGTCGCTTTGTACAAATTTATATTGTGATTGTTAATAAAATAAAGGCATTAACATAATATCGTACCCGAAACAGAAAAGCGACGCAGCTCTCGCATAAATTTGAATGAATCGCCCGAATTGCGAGACTCGTTGAAATTGCAAATGAGATCTACTATCTCATCACAGTGGATGTAGATAAAGTGAGCTTGGAAGCCTCCAAGGCTGGGCTTCAGAAGATTCAGAAAGTGATATGCGTTTTGACGGTGTTCATGATTGCTGCACCTTAAGATTCTAACAGCATTATTTGCCGAAACTAGAAAGGACTTTCAAAATTTCAACTACACAGTTCTGCGAAACCTAAGCACGGTTGATAGAAAGTGACAAAGAATTTGTAAAAAATCGAGTTTATGCATCAGTAATATGCTAGGCATGTCCCTTGCTTAGTTAAAACCACCTTTTAAACGTCATATCTGGATCGAAAGCTCGGTAGAGCAATTACTCTACTAATAAGCTGGTTGAATATTAAAAAAGTTTTATGGGTTGGTTAACTACGCCGGTTAGTGGGAGTCAAACCTATTGGATCCATTTTCATTGTGCCCTCACCACGCGGCCATTTCTACGCCGCATTCCTTTTTAATTTGCCATGCCAGATGCCAGCAAGTGTTATAATTGCGTCTAGTTATTTTGAAGATTGTGCTTTTCCGTGTTAGCAAAATAATTTAATTTGAGAATTTCAGCTCAATTTCATTCGGATTAGGAAACATCTAATTCTTAACTTATCTTAGTTGTTATTTCTTCAATATTTATTTAATTCTCTTTTTTTTTGTCCAATTATAATGGAAAACAACCAATAATAATTGAAAACAACCAATAATAATTGAAAACGATGTTGCTTAATTTGCATAATCGATGAAACAAACAAGTAATAAATAAGCACAGCTCTCTCAAATCTCCTTCAAGCTCAACCATTCCGAATTAATATCCAAAGAGATTAGAATCCTTTTTTTTAGTTCCTAAACATTGTACCTACAATATAACAGCAATACAGCCCATTTTCATTCCGTTATCCGCTAACAGCGACTAACATAACATTGTCAAGTTTTAAATATTACGTGTTTTTATGTTTTAGGGACTTGTCTAGATTACCTCACCCGGGGTGTTAGCTGTTAACTATATTGTGTTAGAGTGCTAGAGTCATATTTCTCCTGACCTTGGCCTTGCCGTCGCCGGCTAATGGAAAAACGCCCACAGGCAAATTCCTTCACGAAAGACACAAAGGTGGAAAAAACAAAACGCTACTTTCGTTTGTTCAAAAAAGTCAACGCGGTTTAAAAATAACAATGGCCTAAAGTTTGTTTACAAATATTACAAAAATAAGGCCATATTATTCTGCATACTATACACAAATTCGATTCTACATTCATCATCATCATCATTTCAGTCATATGACGTCCACTGCTGAACATAGGCCTCCCCCAAAGATTTATATGTTGACCGGTTGGTAGCGGCCTGCGTCCAGCGCCTTCCTGCAACCTTTATGATGTCTTCGGTCTACCTTGTGGGTGGACGTCCCACGCTGCGTTTTCCGGTACGCGGCCTCCACTACAGAACTTTGCTGCCCCCCCATCGGCCGTCAGATTCTACAATTTGCGTGGATTACTGGCATTGAACTAATTTTGCAAAGATCATAAGCAGTAATCAGGTTTAACTAGCAAAGCATACTGTTTTTGTACTTTTTTGTAATGTACAAAAACAGTATTCAGAACGCAGCAAAGATGATTACGTAGAGCCTTGAACAACACATTACAGAAACCGTAGAGCTCATCGCGGAGCAAATCCGTTAATCGCGTTGCGGTTAAATCCAATATGGCGGCCGGCCAAAAACAGGTTGGGGTTACCATACAAATTACTACTTCAAAAGTCCTGGCAAGAGCAGGATATTTCCATTGAAGTTTGTATACTTATTTTAAATTATATTATTTGTTCAAACACTGCTCAAAATAATTTTGATTCAGTAGTAATTGATACATTGACGATTGGAAGAAGTTATACAATGTATTTATGTTCCAATAAAGTACCTACTTCTTTATTAATGCAGGTACATAGAATCTAATTTTATCAAGCAAATTGAATAGAACACACAGGCGGAAGGAAGTCTCGAACATGTCCGGATATTATATCTGAAACTTGGTAGCCCTAATGGGGAAAATGCTGCGTCGGCGATTGGCAGGAAATCTCATTATCGTTCGCCATCGGGTCTATTGTCAGTATGTTGAATAATTATTTTGTTGCTCTACTCATGATAGGATGATAGGACCTATGCATACGTATACACTCACGTTATAATAAGCCATGAACGTATTAAGGCATAAAAATATCGAATATTTGTATTAAATTCTACCAAATATTAGATCTTGCATCAAATGAAGAAGAATTCAAAGTCAGCTGAAACTTATTCATTGAGCTTGTAAACTCTTGTCACTCATGCATGACCCACGATTAGTTACATAGAAAATCCTTTTTTACTCTTAAATACTCGTAAGCCTAAGTATAAACGTCTCACTGCAAGATAGACCACTTCAATAGTATGCAATATCGCAGGCTATTGTATTAATAGACATTGCCTATAAAGGCAACGTCAATAATATACCTTAATATAATTAATTCACGGTAAAAATGCAGCGTGGAACGTCCTCATGAAGGAAGCCGTTGGATGCAGGCCGCTACCAACCAGACAATATGGAAATCATTGGGGGAGGCCTATGTTCAGCAGTGGACATGGCTGAAATTCACGCATCAGACATGGCGTACTGGGAAAGCTGAACCGAACGCGTAGTTCCATTAAGTCTCGCCCCGAGCACGGAAACTCGATTCGAGGAAAGCAATCTCCGCTATTTACCATCCATTCAGTCAACTGACACGTTTGCAGTTTACTTTGTACCTACGCGTTAGTCTCTAGGCTTATCGTGTTTCCAATTTACTTCACTAATGCTATAGAAAAGTATAAGGTGACGTAGGAAAGATAGGGTACTTACGTTGTGCGACCAGTAAGAGAAATCAAAGTTGAAGCTTTTCACGCCCTCCTTGTTGCCCGGCGGTGCTTTTGGATTTGTTATAACTGAAACAATGAAAAACGTATTTAAGACACATAACATTAAGATATAATGCCCTTAAAATATGACAATATTGTCCTGGATGAGGACTATTGTAAAGATATCAAATTACTTTGCCAAAATGTAAAAAAATGCCTGAGATGTTTAACAAAATTATTATGATGAAAATAATGTAAAAGCTTTTGACTTTCGTTTGCCCGACTTTTATTACCTCCGAAGTTACATGATTAAGCCTAATCGCAGACCACCGATTTTTTGATGGCCGATAGTTGGGTCGGGCTGTTAATCAGTACGAAGATGTATGAAAGTGCCGCACATTACACCGATTTAGTATCACCTGATTCTTCATACAAATTAGAATCGAACCTACTATCGGCCTAAGTACCACGTCATATTGCTCCTTTTACAAAATCACGTAACATATCCTGCCAATCCTGTGCTTTTGGTAGAGTCTGTCTCTCGGGGTGTTTTTGGGTAAAATCGGTCTCTAAAGCGGAAATTGCCGTCTAGAGGTGGAAATACATCTTCAGAGGGGGGAACCCAGTCGGGATGCATTCAACCTTTACTGAAGCATTCGGCGCTACCGGTTGAGTGACCGCGCTGTCTGTAAGCGCTAATCAAATCTCCTTCTTGGTTTGTACTTCGTCCTCGACGCTTCTAGTCGCGCCGTATCGACCGGCGGGGCCGCCGCGCCGTCGCCAGTCAGTAGTTGAAGCTTACTTATTGGCGTGTTTACATACGGATGAACGCTTTTGGGGTATTTTTAGCGACGATAATCAAGAGACTAAATATTAAGATAAAAGCTATTTGAATATGTTAACTAGAAATTAGGGTAATAGGTAGCCTATTTTGGACACGATATTTAAGAGCAAGAAATATACATACGTAGTCAAGTCATTAAGTAGTAGGCTGGACGACAAATAACGGTCCCTACCTAGATATGAAATTATTGGCATAGATAGCCTGCTCTCTCCGTAACGTTCAAAAAATATAAATGAAAATATACCAAATAAAAGCACCTATCCATCCATAAGTTCCCCTGACAATGTTTCTTCCAATCCACTGACTAGACGGTAACTCAAAAGCAATTTCCTCCCATCCCAAAACAGTGTCGCGTCATCCCACCCCTTCGGTGCGTCTGAGTCACGATGCACCGTGAGAACGAGACAGCAGGATACTTCATACTACACACTTCCGTTATGGCTGAGCAATCAAACCAAGTGCAAGCAATGACATTTTTATATGTCGCTGACTCACTCTTCTTCGGATGTAATGCTCGCTTTATGGATTAAGGACCGTGAGCCGGGACAAGCAGTAAAACATTCTATTGGCAGCGAGATGGTTTATGAATGCGTTTTAAAATAATAACATCGGGTGGAATTGTACACGACCCCTGCTGAATTCGTTTTGTTGTGATACAGCAAGAATATCGCGTAGGTAGAGATTTTATTTCTTAACGCCCACCATCTTTTCACCAGCAGAGTACCTAAATGCGTCATAACTTATAAGGTCGCGCTTGAAACGGCAGAGATTTATCTACATCACTGCCAGCTGACTAAAGGGGCTGTTTAAACTTTCAATTCAAATCACAGTTCAATAACGAGTTTGTTTATAAGTAGATCCAATAAAACCATGAACTTTCATCGAAATGAGATCTCTTTGAACACAATGTAAAGTACGTGAGAGCTTTTCAATACAATCATACGTAGATTCCCGATAGTCAATCAATATCGAGAACAATGCGGGCGCCATGTTGGAAACAGCGGCAACAGCCAGAGAGCGGAAGCGGAAGTGAATAACCGCATGTATCTACCGACAGAAGGGCTGTGCCAAGGGCGAAATACACATTTAACCTTGCTAATCACATAATAAAATGTTCTGCACAAGTGGCAATTCTAGCAAACACTAACGTAAGTTCATACATAGAACTTATATTCTTTTATTTAGATTACTTTAGATCATAAAAGCAGCTTATCGATTAGTACAGTTTGCCTGCCCGTTTAAAAAACCGAGGTAACGAATACAAAAACTATATGTGATTGATGGAATTAGTTTTAATGCAAGCTTCGTCATTGTCACGCAAAAATAAAATAATGTGGTAAAGGTTTTCTGAGCTAAACCAAATGTGTGTCAGCCCTGTAACTTTACACGTCCCTGCTGAAGTTTCTGAACAAAGAACCGACGCTTTGCCGATGCATAATGCAGCAGGCAACGAAGACCATTATTTGAATAAATTGCTAATGTTGCCAACTTCGATATTCCTTCCTACACATACTGAGATAGGGATAATTATCCTTGTGAAATAATTCAAGTATTGTAACTTGGCTATATTTTGGCGAATTCAAGACATTTACTTGTCTGTGCAGGGAAAGAAATCAACAATGAATAACGGTTAGAGGAAATGGGAAGAAAAACATACGCATTCCATGGATATTGGATGTGTTGCGTGCCCCTTATTCAAACGGCTGGTCCAAGAGTTACGGAGGTCAGAGGGCAATCACTCCGATACAGTAGTAAAGATAAAAGATTATGTGTGTGCCTTAACTAAAATGGGACACACTCCTTTACTAAAAAGTAAACAAATCCATATAACAAATGACCTACCAAGCAGCCAAATTCTATTTTTTCCCGTTTGTAATCGCTGGGTAGCGTGACTAGCGTCATCGCACTTTGTATGAATTCCTATTGTTCCTTTATTGGCCCTACTAATCTAATGGAGCGAGGGTTTATTCGGGAAGTAGTAGAGCTGATAAAAGTCGATATGTCGTGTGCTATATTTAGTTTTATGGAACATAAACGCCACAAAGTATAAAATTGACATCAGAAATGCGGGGTCAAAGGCACAAAAGGTAAAGATGATTTGTCAAAAGCGTTCCGCTGAAGTGAAAATGAGTCATCACGTTTTTTACTTCCCGAAAAAGTTGTGAAAGTTTAATCTGTGCAAAAAGTTTTCGCATAAAAGATCATCGCACCGAGTGAAGTGGGGAAACTGGGGAACAATGAACCACAGAGGTCAAAGTGCGGCGATTTATCTGAGAGCGTCTGTGAACGGGGCGTGATGGTGCGGAAAATGAGGGCGCCCTCTACAGGCAGTTTGGGCCAACTTAACTCCAGTGTGCTGTGAATGAACGCCAATTGACTTTGGTAGTACTGAGTAGGTAAGTGTTGGCGGTGCCATTTTTACGCATCAACTAATTGGGTCGAATCTAGTTCTTAATTGGTAATCAGAAACGTATGACTAAAGGAATCAATGAATCAATATTTATTTCATTTCAAGTAACAATCATACTCATTTATATCCTCTTTGTATGCTCTGAAAACGAACCCAGAGCTCATTTAATCAGAGTAAGTGAAATTAACTGCTGAGAATCGCACGAGTGGGGGCATGATGGAGGATTTACGACGCCATGCCGGCCCATGGACAAGGTTTACGGGGTATAATGGGGTTTATGGGGCATCGCGGCGCATTGCGGCCGCCGATCGCCAATTACCTCGAACGCGAAATAGCGTAACTACGCTATGTTCCACACGAGTGTTTCACGTGATTTCTAAAATCCAACGTTGAAAATATAAAAGGCTATTTTAAATTTATTTTCGTGTATTTTTTTAATGGGCCCTGCCTGTATTCAAATGTAAGGGCCATAATATGTATGCATACATGAAAGCAAATAGAAGGGTTTTCAATCAAAAGAAAAGCCCTCCAGCGTAACGTAAATTAATAAAAGAGCTCACAAAAAAGTTTCACTCCAGTGAAAATCTCGCTTAAAAGTTATTTTATTTGAATAAACGTTACTCAACGTGATTGCCTAATGTGAAAAATGGATTTTGTTCGCAATATCACACAAAAACGAAGAAAAAGCTGGAGGCAATATCATTAACTATGGTTAGTTTTGCTCTCTCAGCGACGTTAAATTTTCTCCTAATAGGTTATTGTAAAAGGCAGTCATTTTTTATATAAGCCTTCGGGTGTGAAAGAGCCATTTGCTGTCCACTTAATGCATATTAATGGTGCCGTGGGCGAGGACTGACGCACCGGTGACGTCACGCGCGGTTTACACGTCACTGTTTGGGACACGGGCGTTTTACACCCCACGCTTCTCACCCTACGTGACAATGAACTTCCCAAGTAACACAAAACACAATTATAAGAAGCGTACAACAGCATGAACCTACGTGCAGAGCAGTATATGAGCAGCATATGTAGCACTATATCAGCCGTATAAAAGTCTATAAGTGTCTTGTAAGCGCAATTTGGGCCCCAAATAATACGGCTTTGAGCATTATTAAATATTATTAGTGCTGCTAACCAGCGCTTATAATGTTATTGAAGACAGACATTAGTAAAGTTGTTAGACAGCATATTCTAATGTAAAAAGCATTTTATTAGATGTTAGTACAGCTTTGAAACAGCTTTCAGAATTACAATGCCAAAGTTACGTTTTATTCTAAGGCTGAACGTTTTATTTTGTTTGTTTGAAAGTATTCGAAAAAACTTATAGCATTTTATTGTCCGATTTGATTATTTTTCGTTTAGAGTATTGCAGTGCAATGGTGTTGTGAGGAGATGTTTTAATGTCTTTATTTAAAATAATTTATCATAAGGTAAGTATCATATTTTTTTGTTTCAAGAATGAAAATGAGCTGGGAGTATTAGTCTTATGTGAAAATATATATATGTTTGTGGTTTATAATTCACGCGCCCTCACAGAAATCCTTTTTTTAATAAAATAGGGACAAATTTAGAATCGACATATGACACTTTTTGTGATTTTTTTAACGATTTGATTAATTTTAACTTATAAAATTGCTTCTATCGATACTCCGCTTGTAAGAAAAGGATAATAAGTAGTATTTCATGCATATGTGTATTATAATTTTATTTTCTATGTTAGAGAAAACAGAAAGCAAATGGCGTCAGATAATATTAATGTTTTAAACTTTCAACTAGTGTCTTTTAATGTTGTCAGTCTTATTATAGTAAAAAGAAAATGGTTAAGTCATTCAA